GAGTGCTGCCCGCCTTGGGAAGGGGACGGGTCGTCCTGCGGGGCGAGCTCGGGTCGGGGTTTCTGTCAGGATGTGGTTGTGCCGAACAACCCCGACGGGCCGCAGTACCCCTTCTCCGGGTTGGACGACAGGGAGAAGTGGCCCCTGGTTTTCTACAACCGGACTTGCCAGTGCGCAGGGAACTTCATGGGTTTCAACTGCGCGGACTGCAAGTTTGGCTACTTCGGCGTCAACTGCAATGAGAGGAGAGAGTCTCTGAGGAGGAACGTATTTCACCTGTCCAGGGCCGAGAGGATCAGACTTGTGTCCTACCTGAACTTGGCCAAGCAGACAGTCAGCAGGGACTATGTTGTGGTCACAGGGACCTACCAGGAGATGGGAAACGGCTCCAGCCCGATGTTCGCTGATGTTTCAGTGTATGATGTGTTTGTGTGGATGCATTACTATGTGTCCCGGGACGCGCTGTTAGGCGGGCCGGGGAACGTGTGGTCCAATGTTGACTTTGCCCACTGGGCGCCTGCGTTTCTCCCGTGGCACCGCGTGTACCTGCTGCACTGGGAGCACGAGATCAGGAAGCTGACCGGAGACATGACCTTCACCATCCCGTACTGGGACTGGAGGGATGCCCAGGGATGTGATGTGTGCACGGACGAGCTGATGGGGGCCCGGAGCCCCTTTGATCCCAGTTTCCTCAGCGCGGGCTCGGTCTTCTCCTCTTGGAGGGTAAACACTAAAGTCCTCCAGCTTCTCTTCTTCTCTCCTTTGCTTTATTTTCTTGAATACTTTTTTCTATTTAAGTAGGAATCAGTTCTGAAGTGTTTAGAGATACACATTCAGACATTTTAACTTGAAAGATCATAAAGAATGTGTAAAAAATAAGAAAAGTAATTAATATCTGTTGATCAAGATCATGTTAAAATGCTTTTAAAGTTAGGCTACCTTTGGCCTGCTTGGATGAGATTTACCTTGACAGTAATAACAAGCAGAGCCAAATTCCAAACCCACTGAAACTGTCAAATTGCTGGGACGTGTGCTAGTGCTTTCATGCGCGGTACTGTAATCGGTTCGCGTTCGTGTGTCTCCATCCGCAGGTACTGTGCTCCAGAGCAGAGGACTACAATAACAGAGGTGTGTTGTGTGATGCCAGGGAAGAGGGCCCGTTGCGTCGTAACCCTGGAAACCACAATCGTAACGTGGTTGAACGATTACCAACTTCAGCAGAGGTGGAGTTCACGCTCAGTCTGCCCAACTATGACACCGGAGCCATGGACCGCAGTGCCAACATGAGCTTCAGGAACACTCTGGAAGGTCAGATAAGCTTGGCCACAAATGCACACACACACACACACACACACACACACACACACACACACACACACACACACACACACACACTGCTGTCCTAATGGGATGGCTATGTGTGGGATGCTCTGAATGTTGGTGATGACTATTTGTACTTTAATGTGTGGCCTCATATGACACATTTAATTTATTTGCACTGTGTATATAAGAGTTGAAGGGTTATTCAGCACTTATAATACGATTAATATTCAAGTACAAGTTGCTTTTAATAATGCATTATTAAAAGTAACATCTTATTTATTGTAGGACACTGTTATAATTCATTAGTAACATCAACATAGGTATCCAGGTTAAGTACCCATTATGCTCTCATTGTTTGGTATATTTCCTTTGTCACTGTATCCAACAATTGTGATTGTACATCACTTAAATCATATCAGGGTTGGCATTAGTTCTGCAAAATTCCAGCTATTGTACAAGGGCTAAATTACACATTGCTGAACATCTATTCTCTGTTAATAGAAGGTTAGATATCAGCACAGAACTATCCAAATAAAGGGCTATCTCCAGCATAGCTTTAGAGGCTTGTGATGGTTTCCTAGGATACAGAATTTCTAAACATATTCATACATCTCATGCTATACTTAACAGAAAAGAAAGAAAGTCCACTGTAGAGGAGCTTATGGGGATTCTCACCGCCATATACACCCTGTTTAAAAATACAATGCTTGTATAACATCGCCATTACCATTACAGGCTGTTGCCACCTAATTAAATACTTCTCATCTTGCAGGATTCGGGGATCCTCGGACTGGGTTAGGGAACAGTTCTCGCATGGGCATGCATGCTGCTCTGCATGTGTTCATGAACGGCTCCATGTCCTCAGTGCAGGGCTCAGCGAATGACCCCATATTCCTTCTCCACCACACTTTTGTTGACAGGTGAGACACACACACTCATCACATTTTATAATTTCAGTACACTTACACTCTTGCACCTAACAGCAGCGCTATATTTGTTTTTTATTCTCTATGAAAGCATTTATGAGGAGTGGCTCAGGAGGCATAGACCTTCCCCATCACAGTATCCAGAGTCTAATGCTCCTATAGGGCACAACAGCGAATACCACATGGTGCCCTTCCTGCCCCTCCACCGAAACAGAGAATTCTTCATTTCCAGCAAGGACCTGGGATATGAATATTCATATCTGCTAGATGCTAGTAAGTTCTGTCTAAGTAGAGATTTTTCTATTTTGCCACATAGAATTGCATCTGAGCAATTACTGCTTTGCATTTTCTCTGCTAATGTCTTTCTTCATTTTTCTTCTCAGTAATCTATTAGTTAATTTTAGGTCTAATTTAAGTATTAAACCACTACTTGTATCTTTTTTCCAGACCAGAGGCTAGCAGAATCCATACGTCCTTATTTGGAGGAATTGCAAGGTGTGTGGCCCTGGCTGCTGCTTGCAGGGCTCTGTGGGGGAATTGTAGCAGTGGCCATAGTCGCTGCTGTCCGCACTGCAAAACGACGATACAGAGGGTCACCTTGGCTGCATGCGAAGAGGTGGAAAAACTTATTTGCTCTCCCAGAAAGACAGCCACTTATCTGGAGCAGTGACACAGAGGAAACCAACCACCCTAACTACCAAACAACCATGTGAAGGCACAGCCAACCCTCTGTGACTTTTGATATCAAAGTACTGTGAATTTTACATTACATTAAAATGAGTCTATAATCTTTGTTAATGAGCATGTATTTAAACTGTATTAAACGAGTAAAAACAAACTGAGGCATGTTTGACTTTTTAAACTTTATCCACCCACAAATTGTCAAATTCTGCCCTTTAGATCATTTTAGACATTTATGGTTTCTGTCATGGAAATGTTCAAAATGGCATTTCACATTTATGCTCCAGGGTTAACATGATTTCATCTGATTACCTTCAAAATCTGGTTCTACAGTGTTGCATCAGTGATCATGAAATAACTACATTCAACTGTCATTCAGAGCGAGAAACAAATTATTCTAAGTTTAAAGAAGCCTGAGGGGACTTTTTAATTATCTTTATGTGGGAGTTGACTGAACCACATTTTGATTAACGTTTAACCCTTGTATTATGTTAAGGGTCAATTTGACCCATTTCAGTTTTTGTGTTGATCAAAGTACTGGTTATCCTTTCTTTTTCTTGCTGAAATTTGGTGACTTTTCCTCATCTAGGGTCATTAACTGGTGTGTAAAATCTGGACACTTTGATGTGTAGTGGAATGTCTGTGCAGAGTTGGTATACAAAGATGATGTTGCGGGTCATTTTGACCCAGACGCTTTAATGTGGGTAAATAGCTGTTCAGATCCAAAATAAACATGTCTCTTTGATGTACTTTTTACTTTATATATATACAATATACAATTGTTTGTATTTTGATTGCCTCTGAGACCCAGAGCCAGGTGTGTGAAGAGAGGGAACTTTCTCACACTTGTCCTTGTCACTGTTCTCATGTCATCTCTTTGACAAACTCACCAAAAATGAGCTCCAGAAGGATGACAACTGAGGAGGCTTTATCATAGATTTTTAACTGGGATAGTGATGTAGAGGAAGAGATTTCAGAAACAGAGGATTTTTCAGAGACAGAGGACACTGTTATTGCTGATCCAGATTGTCAATTTTCCTACGATGAGGAGGATTCAGAGGACAAGTCTGCCGTTGTTCCTCCAACAGATGAAAACCAAGGAATGCAGCAATCATCATCCACAGAGGGGACATGGGCATCTAAGGACGGTAATATAAAATGGTCCAAAAATCACCACACCCAAGCCGAGGCAGACTATCATCTTCCAATGTGATCAAAATGACTCCCGGTCCTACAAGATTTGCTGTCACACGAGTTGATGAGATTCAATCAGCATTTCAGCTCTTCATATCCCCTCATATCTTAGCCCTTGTGCTTTCTTTGGTCAAGGAAGGAGGAAGGGAGGAAGGAAGGAAGGTAGGAAGGAAAGAAGGGAGAAAGGAAGGAAGGAAGGAAGAGAGAAAAGAAGGGAATAGAGGAGGATGAACAGAGAGAAGGAAAACAGGATGAGAAGAAGGAAGGAGAGAGCATGGCAGGAGGAAAGAAGGAGGGAAGAATTGTCATTTTGACCCGAGAGGAGGACAAGAGGATTAGACTAAATATTTCTTAAATATGGTGTTGGAATTAAAAATGTATTGTATGTCACTTTTCTAAATGTTTATATAACCTAAAATAAAGTTGTTATTGGTTTAATCTGTTTTCTTGACTGTTTTGAGTGCATTTACACAGTACGGGTCAAAATGACCCGCAACATAATCAATGTCATTTTTTTTCAACATAATACAAGGGTTAAAGTTTGTGGTGTGAGACATGCTTTTGGAAAGGGAAAAAGGTGATTATGTTTGCATCGATGTCAAGGTCTGAGACATCTCAACAGCAACAGAGTTCAATACTCTAACCTTAAGAGTTAACCTTAAGAGAGTAAGTTATAGTTTTAAAAAACTTTGACATTTGTAAAAGTCACAGCAGTTCCCAAAGTTGCACATGGTTCAAAATCACTTGAAAGGTCACACTTACTTTAATTTAAGACAAGGGATTCATTTGTGGTGGTCTCAATACCACTCTACCAACTTACTGTGCATACGCTGTATGTCGTAGTAGGGTATGAACCATCACACTAACGTCACCCCGTTTTAAAAGTTCAACACAAAAGTTTATTTTTGGTAAGATAAAGTGGTTCCCTATTCATTTTATCCTTATATCATGGTCTCTGTCAAATTGAACAATACATTCTAAGCCTTGAGACATGCAGTCAAGCATAGCATTTTTACAATACAGTACTTTTCTTAAAATATTTTGTATTCAATTGGTATTGTCAGATATTACAGTACATTGTCATTATTAAAACTGTGGTATGCTGTTTTGACAAGAAATGAGGAGATAAATACAGCATTCATTGTATGTAAGCAAAACAAAATATACAATAGGTAAAAAAAACAAAAAAAACAAATTTAGAGCAAATCTACAGTTTTACCTGTAAAAGGGTGGGATAGTTGGCTGTCAAACATTTCATTTCTAAGTTTAAGAGTCCCAAGGAACTATTATGTTTCTTATAACACAGTTTATTCAGAATAAACTCCATATTACACAAGTGTGGACATCTTTGAGATTTCCTACTCAAACTACACAGCAGCTTCATTATCACACAGACATGGGAATATATCTGTGAAGAGAGCATTTTGTCTGACGTGATACTGGTGGACAAAACAATGCAATAATTTATACAATTTATGCAACCAAAGGATGGAATGAAACATTTCCCAAACATTGTTGAAATATGCTCACAACTATGGTCCTTTATGATGACTTGATACAAGCAGTCCACATGAAAGGCTTTAACGGACACACCTGACTCCTACCTTATTGTGTGGTGTTATTTTCCAGAGGATTTCAGTGCAATTAACAGTGTGTCATCGTCTATGAAAAGTAAGTGTTTCCTCTATTATCATTCAGTACTTGAGTGAAAAAACTGTCGTAAAAATATTTGAGGATTTCTTTAGCATTACAACCAACCGACCAATAAAATCATGTGCGCTGACTGGTAAGAATGAAAGTGGAAACACTGTAAAGTTGAAGAGTAGAGACCAAAGTTCCATGACAGCAAAAGAGGCGATTCTTTAAAGAGGTAAGGAATGGACTGTGTGGCCTTGGATTCAGCAAAAAAAAAAAAAAAAAAAAAAAAAACACTATGTTTTTATTTTTAATTCCTCATCATTCATCTTCGTCCTCGCTATCATCCTCCTCTTTTTTCTTCTCGTTATCCTTGGGTGGGATGACGGGGGGAGGAAGGTCCAGACGTGCCCATGACATGGGCTCGGACTTCTTCATGGCTACCTCAATCTTGGCGGCCATCATGTTCACAATACTTTTACTCACATCTATCACCTACAAGGAAAGGAGGGAGCGTGGTAAAAGACAGGCTTAAATCATGTATTAGACACAAGACTTGCACAAAAATTACAATTAAAATTGGCATACAGCTAAAGGTCAAAAGACTTTTTAAATCAAGTTGAAAGTGAAGGTGTACTTACTCCCCACAAACTGATTTTCTGCTCAAATTCCTTCTCTCCCTCAAATATAACACGGATGTTGAGCTGAGGGATAAAAGAGAGATGAGTATTAGGTTGAGAAGAAGACAATGAAAAACTAAGCAGTTTAGATATGATAGAAATCATCTAACAGGCTATAGTTTTCCTCACCGTGGTGCTGTTTGCATCCACATAGCTTAGCTCTGGGACGGCATTCTTGGCATAGATAGAGATGATGACCTGTGCCCCGGTCTGGTGCCAGTCAAACCGACATGGAACCACCTTCTTACCCTGCAAGGAGATTTCGAACAACATTCAAAGCATCGTTAGATCATCTGATACACAAATTCAGCCATTCAGTATTTACCACAAAGCACTGTCTCTTCAGTGCTTCTGTTTAGCAGACGCCACTAGATGGAGTCACAGCTGAGGCTCTCTCATCCAGACATGCACGCATATATAAATGATCACTTGCTGTCAAGCAGGCACACCTACCGCATCCTTTTTCGTCCATAGATGTGTTCCTTTGGTGCAGCCCTCTTGAGAGAGGAAGGTGTTAAAGTCGGAGGTTTTCCTCTTACAGCAGCTCCAGTATTTCATCCTGGCAGGAAAGACATACACCAGCTGGATTTTAGCAATCAATAACATGTCACTCAAGAGAACCAGAAAACAAGACTAACAGGAAAACCAACAGGAAAATAATACACTTGTAGTTTCCAGAGAATATCTACTACTTCATGTCAATACAGTGAAACACGGATGGAAAGCTAGGGGGTTTTAAGCTTGAAATAATTTTTTTATAAGGCAAAAAATGATCAGTAATACAAACCCTTCATGGAAGATAGGAAATCCGGCGTGGTATAAGCACACATCCGAATCGCTTGCAGGTCCATCATAACTCTGAAGATGACAAAAAACGTGTGGTTCAAAAGACTGAAGCAGATTGTTCTATTAATGAAACTCTCAGTTAATAGTCATAGGTTATTGAACTGAGAAGTCTTAAATGATTTCTGCAGCACTGTCATCAGACGAACTGAGGCATGCAGATAGATCTCGTAAAATCTATTTTATATTAAAGCAAATTTTTGAATATTATTGTAATGATTTAGGTGAAAGTATCATTTTCTGGGAATAAGTAATGACTTTTTTTATTTTAAAGTACCAATTTAGACTCTTTGAAGACCCCCACTGATTATTCAGCTAAAAGCCAGCAGCTCTTGAGAGAATGTCTCACGGCTTTCAATCAAATCAGTTAAACTACAATTATGTAAAGTCCCTCTCCAAGCTTCTAAAAAACACAAGTCAATGCAAATGTTCCTCACAATTTACTTTCTAATCTTGGGGTTTCTGCTCTGACAGCCCACATTAGCGCGAGCAACATCGTTTTGCTCTGCATTCGTCTCAGAGCAAACACGGAGGAGGAGGAGGAAAAGGAGCTGTATCTGCTTCCACTCACCGGTGAGCTCTTTTGGGGCGTTGCAATTTCTTTGTCAGGATCAACTTGGATCATCACGATTTGTTTTTGTTTTCATTTAATGACATCAGTTCATAGATATGTTTTCAAATACGTTAAATTAATTTGCCTTAGAAATTGAAAAAGAAGTGGGCAATTATTTGGAAGAGTCTACAAGCATAAATTAGGGTGAATTTAAAGGAAACATGTACATATTTAAACTGCTGTTGCCAAAGTCATACCAGAAGTACGGATAGAGATTTTACTTATACATTTCAACACCAGAGTTTATTCCAGACTGTTTACCCCCAGTATACGTTGACACATTCACCTACTTTAGTACATCCTCCATTTTTGCAGGATGTTCCAATCTTGATCTCGTCACTATCTTCCTCTAGAGAGACAGAAAGAGAGAGACAAAGAATTGACACCCATATTCTGAAGAGCATCTGGAAAATGCATCCAGTTATGATGAGTTGTCCTGTCCCTGTCAGCTTTTACTCAAATGCCATGACGTGAGTGACGCAGGTGAGGGCAAATTCCCAGCGGCCATCCATTAACTTCCACTGTCAACATGACCTTCCTGTCTACTATAACAAGAAGTGGAAGGTAGTAGTGGTATGATTAAGTGGACAGAAAGAGGGGGGAGGAGAAAATTCTGCTCTCACCTTTATCCTCTGCTGCATTTTCAGAAAGCTTCAGTTTCTCCAGAGCCTGTTTCAGAGAACCAGAGACTTTATGCTGCAATCTCACCATCGGCTCATCTGGGCTGTAACGGTAACAAAAAATAAGTCATGAAACAATAACAACGGGTGATTCAAACTTTATCTGTTTTTTAATTAGTTTGTGAATATAAAACTATCTGGAAGATGGATTTTTACTTCAAGTAAGGGATACATTACTGGAAACATCGCTTCAAAATTAGGTCTCGGATACAAAGCCAGCCTAAGACCAATACACTACTTAAAAGGAGTTTCACTATTCAGTAGTAATCGCCTCATCAGTCGCTTGTCCACTTTCTTTTGAACTCTGGTGGGAAGTATCCAGGGTAAAAAAACCAGAGAACGCCTCCGACTATCCTGTGGATCCTTACTGTACCATTGATGATTTCAGGCTGATTTAATAGCTTGGATACTGTACCTACCCTTTTATGCATTTGATACGAAACCAGAATAATAAAGAGCAGAATGTAGACCACAGAGCTAATAAGGCTATGCAGCCAACTGTAAGGCCGGCTGGTGTACTGAATGGAGAGTAGTGTGTTCTTCTTGACTTGTTTCTTTCTTTTAAATGTGATTTCACTATGGGCTGAATCTTTCTATCTCCAAAAACATTTTATGCTATGTATTTCTATGTATATACAACCTTGGTCTGCGTATCGCCTCCTGAGGCTTTGGTGCAGAGATGATGTACTCGTTGAACTTTGGTTTTTGGTCATCTGCGTCATCCTTTTCTCCCGATGATGTCACATCTGGCTTCACCGGCTCAGGGGGCTTCTCCTTGTTGTGTGGACCTTTTGTACAGCCCTGTGAGGAGAAAGTCACTGTGTTAAGACTCACAAACAATGAGCACGTCGGGCCACAGCAAAAGGTGGCAGTCAATGCCTATGGAAACAATGGACAATGGAAACATGGCCACGGAGGATTAAGAGTATGGATTAAAACAGAAAACAAAAAACTTACAACAATGCTGAGGAAGTCTGAGAAGTCAGTAGTTCTTCTCTTGCAGCAGGACCATCCCTGGAGAGAGTGAGAGAGACATTAAGTTTGACCAGATAACGAGACACAAGCTAACTGTGCATTTTCAGGCATTTTACCTTCAATGCATCGTGGAATACTGGAACTCCTGGATGATAGGTGCAGCCATCTGTGAAATAAAACACAATTTAGAGGGAAAATGATAGTGATATAGGAAACAGCAGACTGTATATAGACCTGTAGCTTTTATGGCTTACTTTTAAGGAATTCTGGTTTCATAAAAGAAACAAAACTTTAAGCTTTTAAAATGCACCTTAAACCGTGGCAAAAAGCTAATTTCTTTTACAGAATTAAGAGTAGCATTGTAGAATAGTTCTGAATGTGGTGAGGCGTTTAAAAAATCAACAATTACAAATAGCATATAGTAAATTTCAACTGTTAAAGCACTGTAACACCAGTGATGTCTTGTCTGCTCTTGGTCCTCCTTTCATGTGTGGTGCATTTCTCAAAGGACTTGGCTCAGCCGTGTCTGATGCTGTCTTCAAGGCCGTCTGAAGTCAGTTTAGAAACGGAGCAGGAAAAAGTTACACTGGTTTGTTAATGTGCACTCAGCTGGAAACTGCACTATTTCTAGCAGTATTTGATGGCTATATGGGGTCATGTCTGCCCCTAACCACATGAATAATAATGCAAGTAAGAAGGAGTTATAAAACTTTTTTTATTAAAATGACCTAATATGTGGAGATGAATGTATGTTATGAGTAAAATAATAGACAAAATGCCTTTCTTGAAGGGAATTCAGTAATTAACTGGAAACACCTAGTAAGTTATAAGAGTACTGTCATCCTGTATGTTTAGATCAGAAAGTGACACTGATACAAAATAATTCAATTAGACCACAGACATAGCAAACTAAAAAACACAAAAGGATAAAGAGAATTTAAGCTTTAGTAGGTAATGATTTTTAGACACTCAGTATTAAACTTCAGAAAACTTAAAAAAAGACTAAAATTTTACATAAAACTTAAATTTTTGCACAAAATACATAGATACATTATTAATCCAGGCATTAGGAAATTAATTGGGAAGATTTATTAAACTCTTTTTTCAAAGGAAACACATTTCAATGGAAAAAAGTTTTTCAGACAAGCAAAATTTAAATATGACTATCTGAACACAAGATCACGACACATGAACATTTTATAATAATACATTTTTAAACTAATATTCATGATACATTAGAAATACCATCTGAAAGTTTGACAAAATCATCATTTGACGTTTGCCTTAAATGGAAAGCACAGCATGATTTTTTTAAATGCCCTCTTTTTGGAAATGCCTTAAAAGACAAATCCCAGTGGACTGAATAAAAACGTTTGGCTGGATGATACCATGAATCAAGCATTTGCCACATAGCACAGCCTGAGCTGCACCCCTTCCATGCTAATGCCTTAGAATCACCTAGGTACCCCTAAAGGTAATGATAATATACTCTGCTGTTATAAAAAGAGGCATCCCATTAAAATGGAAATATACTTGACTCCTGCATTGAGTATCTGGTAATACACAATGTTATATTACTGGAAGACAGGAGGGGACATTTATAACAAAAAGGAAATAAAGAACACATTGAGATATGTCTTGGTAGCTGAAGACAACACCTCGAACGTTCAATTACATTTAGAGCAGTGGCTTCATCTAAAGAATGGTTTCATGGGCAAACTGCCTTAAGATCAAGAAGTGAATTATTAGGACAGTGATCTTATCCCTACACAACCTCATATAAATTAATTTCCTTGTGGTGTTTTTGGGGTACTGCACTACAGGAAGCACACACAGGTTGTGGCTAAGAGGAAGAGCAGGTCATCCACTAACTGGAAGATGGGCAGTTTGATCCCCCTGTCCTAGGGCAAGATACTGAACTTAAAATTGCTGCTGAAGGCTATGCCATCAGCCTATTGTTGCCTACCGTTTATTTAAGGATCCCGATTAAAAGCATATGTATGTTCCCTTCAACCTTCAGGGGTCCAGAAAAATGGAAATTAGACTTGCCTCCAGGAAGATATGAGCCATATACTGCATCAAACATGAGTATGACCAAATAGATGGGGAGATTTTTTTGTTGTTGTGCTCATGATGACAAGTGTGGTGTTTCAAATGTCTTTGCCTCTCCCAGGGCATCTTGTGTCACATCAAATCAAGGATTTGGCTACTGTTTTGGCGAGGAGTATGCACTGTATTGTCGAATGTACTGGGGAGACTGCTCTCACTTTTACAGGATGATATGAAATGGCTGACAGGAGACAGTATGGGTTCAAAATATACTTTGGCTTTCCTCAGGCATAACGCCTTCTGGTAGTAAGAAAATGCATCAGCTCATGAATACATCTTACTTATTTTCATTTCTTATGGGTTTGTCAGATTTGGTGCTTCTAGTTTTGCATCTTTGTATTGCTAAAGGCCAGACTTGGTATAAAAAGGCTCACATAAGGAAGTTCACATACAGAATAACATCATAGGCTACATTGTGGTGTAAGGGTGGCTGTAGTATCCAGTTAGTCATTGGCTCCACTCTTTAATTCAGATTTATAGTAAAGCACAGGTCCAAAGCTGATGGGAAATTCAACCTCTTAGCCAATCCAATGGACTAACACACACACACACACACACACACACACACACACACACACACACACACACACACACACATAATGTTCCGTTTAAAAAGCTTAGGTTAACCTTACTGTTGACTGGCCACTCGGTTGAACTGCTCTTTGCTGTCTTTCGAGGTGTTAAAGAGAAATTTAACTCGTGGTAACATAGTTAGTGTTGTGTGACAGCGTTGAGAAATGTACTGCAGATAATCTTTATGTAGTAAAAACCTTGAATGAGGTGTTTCTTTAACTTTAACCTGCTTACTGTGTGCTCTGACAACGGTTCGACAAAGTCCAACGTTACCCTCGAACCTGCTAACTACACGAGCTTAACATGCTAACAACATCGTGATAAGTCACGGCAGGCACACACGTCATTAGCTTCCCGGGTTATTATCTACAACGGTATTTATGAATGAAGTCACTACAGTGTCGGGTCCAGCCGGCTAACTAATGCCAGGTTAGCTACATGGGCCCACCAGGCCTGCACGCTGTAGAAATTTCCAGATGATCAGAGGTTAGCTTGCTAACCGGGCACACGGCGATAGTTAACTAAGATACTACTCACCGTCTGGGTTATTTTCTGGATCAAATCGCTGTCCACATCCCTTATTATAACACAAAACGGACATGGTGGTGGGCGAAACAAGTTTAACTGGTGGCGAGACTTGTAACTAACCACAAAAAAAAAAAGCGTGTGTGTGTGTGATAGCGACCCGCAACCGTAGTGTACTGCTGTGGGTTACACTGGTCTTCACTTCCGGATGTTGTCGGCTACACTCGGCAAAGATCGGAGGCTTCCCGACCCGCCTCCAGCCAGTGAGCGCTCCGCGGTCCCACACAATTCTGACCGCTTCCAAACTTGCGTTAAGCGACATGTTCTTTATACCACATTTGTGTCGGACCTTAAGCTTCCAGCAAACCAACACCTAACTGTTTTAACTTCAGTTTTGTGTTAAGTGTTGCAGATAAAAGCCGAAATAGCCAAGTGACTCAGGGTTACAGTAGTCAGGTGCATGAAACTGGGGCAATAGCTATTTAGTTTTACGAGGATGGCTGCAGCCTAGTAGACAACAGCCTTTCGGGATATGTGCACATGAATATTTTTCCATTTGGCGATTCACCATCGTCTTCTGGTGGACTGTTTTGCGCGTGTTGCTTTTTTTCTTTCCTTTTTTAAAACCACTGTCGGAGATAGGATGGGAAAGGATTTACCTTCACTGATTACAGCTGTTTCGTCTAAAGGTAGGGCACGCTGCGATGTGAGTGATGTGTGTGTACAATACAAGTTAATGCGTCCGCATACTGTAGCTACAGATTGTAAACTCGTGTGATTTTGCACGGAGGCGAGCTCCACTGAATCCGCATCAACATGGGAGACAATGAATGCACCCCAATATCTCCTGGGACAGTCACCCTCGGGGGGAATGTTGATTTGAGTCATAGGTGCTGATATTAATCTATTGCATATTACTATAGGTCCTGCATACAATATACAAGTGGGCTGACAGTTCATAGTATCAGTTGTGTTGTTTGTTTCTGTTATTTTATTTGTATTAGTTTCTGTCGAAGTTGTATGATCAAGAAAAGGCTACTGTAAAGGCGATGCATAAAACATTTGGTGTACAGCAGCCCAGACAGTTTTTTTTAAAAGCATTTGTAATCAAAAGGAAAAAATGAAAATATAATGTTTTTAATTAGGCCACCTAATTTTCGCTTTGTCTCCCTTTCTGGTAGTTACATTTTGTGCGTTTTAGTTAACCTGATGCTTACTTTATATAAGGAGGATGTTTAGAAAGTGTTTTTCAAATTTCTAAGGAAGTGTTATTTTTTTAGAGTGCACAGTGGTGTTTCTCAGACCATAGGATCTTTTGTCCTAGTTACATTTTCTCTTCTGAAAATGTCACAACCCTGGTGGCTAAAGAAAAAAAAAAAAACAGTCCTTGAGTCTTTTAGGCACTCTTTATTCTAGTAACAGTGATTGTTCTTGATCTCTGTTGTTTTATTTGATGACATAATATGTTTCACTGAAGCTGTGTAAGTGTGCTGTGCTTTGATGTGGTTTGTTTAAAGATATGTCATTCTTGATTTCTGAGCCTTTCGGGTGAATATTAAGTGTCTGAATGCTGTTTGAGTGCAAACATTGAATATGCTATCATATCCCTATAGTGATAAGCAGTACCCCTGAAATGTCTTTGTAACTTTTGTCTCACAGTTCTTTATCAAAATTTTAGCATGCAGAGAGCATGTCTCGAACAACTCACCAACTGAATCCAGATCTGTTGTTCTTTGTTATTCTTTCCAAATATAGGGTGACTGGGTGATGGAATAGTGATGAAGCCTAATCGGTGGGGAAATATGCTTCCTCTACCCAGCTTCTCTCTTCTTTTCCATTTCATTTGCTTCTTCCTCCTCATGTGTTTCCCCTCAACCCATACCCAGTTTCTGCCAGAACCTAGAGCAGGACAAGGCCTGCTGCTCTTCACCCAGCCTGCCTATAATGCCTCCATCTTTGAGAACTCTGCTGCAAGAACCTATACCAGAAGTGAGGTCAAAATGGGCATAATCCTTGGGCCGCCTCGGTCTTTAGATATAAAATATTCAATTGAGTCTGGAGACAGTGAGGGAATCTTCCAGGCTGAGGAGTTTGTAATTGGAGATTTTTGTTTCCTCCGTATACGCACTAATGGAGGCAGTGGTGCCATACTGAATCGGGAAGTACAAGACAATTACACACTGACAGTGAAGGCATCTGCCCAAGGAGGCCAAGAGGCCTTAGCCACTGTTTATATCAAGGTCTTAGATACCAATGATCTCCGACCTCTCTTCTCCCCAACCTCCTATTCATTCATTGTGTCTGAGAGTGCCCCTCTGGGTGCCAGCATAGGACGTGTAACTGCCACAGATGCTGACATGGGCTCCAACGGGGAGTTCTACTACTTCTTCAAGAACAGAGTTCAACTCTTTGCTGTTCATCCGACCAGCGGGGTCATCACCTTGACGGGTCGGCCCAGGATGGACAAGCAAGACCGATTTGAGCTGGAGGTGCAGGTGGTTGACAGAGGGATGAAACTGTATGGGAACAATGGTATCAGCAGCACTGCTAGGCTGGTCCTGACTGTGGAGCGGGTCAATGAATTTGCTCCTGTGCTCAGTGCAGTTGCTGTCGTTCCATCATCGGTGGACAAGGACTCAGTCTATGCCATAGTGACTGTGAAGGACAACGACGAGGGGGTATCTGGGGATATAGAGTGGGTCTCCATCATTGAGGGTGACCCCTTTGAACAGTTTGTGGTTGACCGATCGCCTGTCGGAAATGAGTATAGGGTTAAAACATCAGAATTGGTCGACTGGGATGCATTCCCTTATGGCTGCAATTTAACCTTCCAGGCTAAAGACAGAGGTGTACCACCTAAGTTTTCTAATACCCAAGTTGTACAGTTGTTGGTTACAAAGCCAGGTCCAGTGTTGGCAAGGTTCGAGAAAGATATTTATGTATTTAAGCTGAGTGAAATAGCTCCCCCAGGCACTATTGTAGAGGTGGTGAAAATCTCCCCAGCTCCTCTGAGTGTCAATTACAGCTTCAGCAGCCTCTCAGATCCAATGTACTTTGATATAAACCCTTTGACTGGAGTTATTACGACCACAAGGCAGCTGACAAGGATATCGCAGGATTTCATGGAGATGGAGGTGGTTGATATGATTAGTCAGCAGCGGTCGAGGATCCAAATCATCATAGAAGATGCTAATGACAACTCTCCAGTGTTCGACAGGCCATTCTATGATATTGCAATCAACGAGAGCTTACCTGTAGGCACTGTTGTTATTGTAGTATCTGGTGTGGATGATGACAAAGGAGAGAATGGGGTTGTCACCCACACAATAAATGGTGAACAGTCTCTTCCATTTACAATAGACCAGGACACAGGGGAGGTGAGGATCACAAGAGACCTGGACTTTGAGTCATCAGATGATATTTATACTTTTGCAGTGCGGGCCTCAGATTGGGGTTCACCCTACAGAAGGGAGAGTGAGGTTAATGTTACCATTCGTCTACTAAATGTCAATGACAACCAGCCTGTATTTGAGATGGTTTCTTGCAGGGGGATGATAAGCCGTGATTTCCCTGTCAGCCAGACTATTGTCACCATGTCAGCTGTGGACATAGATGAATTAGAAATGGTGCAGTATAAGATACTGTCTGGGAATGAGTTAGACTATTTTAACTTAAATCCAGACTCTGGTGCTTTGTTATTGAAGAGGTCGTTAGCAGTAGCTAATTTAAAAAGTGGGATATTCAACCTGAAAATAGTTGCAACAGATGGAGAGATGTTTTCTGATCCTACATTTGTGAATGTATCTGTGGTGAGGGGTAGGATGCCACCTAGGGGGTTCAACTGCAAGGAGACTAGGGTAGCCCAGCTGTTGGCAGAAAAAATGCTCTCAAAAGCGTCTGCCATGGCTAGACCAAGACTAGATGAGAGAAACACAGATCTTTTCTCTATGAACAAACAGGCTCCACAGTTTGAGGCCTTGCCCACTAGTATTCTAGTGAGAGAAGACCTTGCTACTGGCACCAGTGTATTTCAGGTGAGAGCCCGAGATGCTGACACAGGCTTTAATGGCCGGGTTCTCTTTTCCATATCTGATGGTAACAAGGAAAACTGTTTCAATATCAACATGGAGAATGGGCTGATAACTGTATTGCAGCCACTAGATCGTGAGCGTTTGGATCGTTACTTCCTCAATATCACCATCTACGACCAGGGCGTTCCTCAGATGTCCAATTGGAGACTACTGACTGTGATCATTGAGGATGCAAATGACAATGACCCCCAGTTTTATCAGGACAGCTTCTCTACTCTTGTTTCAGAAAACTCTGTCATCGGTATGGAAGTTATTACCATCACTGCATTTGACAGAGACATTGGCCAGAATGGACAGCTCTCCTACATAATGCTGACCAGTGTCCCTCACTTTGGTATTGACAGCGAAACAGGAAGTGTATTTGTTGCTAGCCACTTGGACAGAGAAACAATCCCAATGTTCACCTTGAAGATTGAAGTGAGAGACAAGGCTGAAAGAGGCACTCGAAGGTCGTCAGTCGCTACTCTAAGTGTAATAGTGGAGGATGTCAATGATTGCGCCCCAGCCTTCATCCCTAGCAGCTATAATGCTCGAGTACTGGAGGATCTCCCACCAGGTGCTGTGATTACCTGGGTGCAGGCTCAGGACCCAGATATTGGCCCCGGTGGACAGGTCCGATACTCCTTGATAAATGACTTCAATGGTACTTTTGAGGTAGGTCATGTCACTATTTGTATTGCCTAATGTCTTTACTGTTGCATATGCTGATCCTCTTTGTGTTGACGGTTTATGATGAATGGAACTGTAATGCTTTTGTACAGGTCAATGCTGTGAGTGGAGTGTTGAGGATTAGGAAGGAGCTGGACTTTGAGAAACAGCAGTTTTTCAACCTGACATTACGTGCTGAGGACAGAGGAGTACCCAGCCTTATCAGTCAGACATTTGTTGAGGTGGAGGTGCGTAACACACACACACACACACACACACACACACACACACACACACACACACACACACACATACACATGCACAGGGGAGCCAGGGGGTCTCCAAAATATTGACAATTTGCTATTTTTGCCATGCATTTCTATTTTTCTCTATCTTTATCATCATGGATCATGCCTAAATTATTATGCTATTATTGATGTATGTCATTAAGTGATTATTATATATCAGATGTGCTGATATAAAGCCAATGGGCCTATACAATTGAAGTTATAAATGTTTCTTTCTATGGTTTAGTTTGCACACTGGGTCTAATGCTATTCAGTTCTTTTATTTATACTGCATGATACTACACGTCATCCCTTTTTTTTCGAGTCAAAATTAAAGTTAGCATTACATTTCTTTAGGTGGTGGATGTCAATGAGAATTTGTATGCACCCTACTTCCCTGACTTTGCCGTGAGAGGCTCAGTTAAGGAGAACTCTCGTGTGGGCACAAGCGTCCTGACAGTCAGCGCTAAGGACGACGACAAGGGGCGAGATGGCGTATTGAGGTACTCTGTCAGAGGAGGCAGCGGACTGGGCACTTTCACCATTGACGAAGACACAGGTGTGACACAAGATCAATTTTTAAGCCTATTTATGTAAAGTGAAAATCCAATAACTCACAGAGTCATGAGTGGAATATCAACACCCAGTAGTGCTAATCATTGCACATTATAGGAAATCGTACTATTTCTGTGCCACTGCTGATGACTCTCACATGTGTAGTTGTTGCTCAACTCTGAGTTTTGTGTCTCTGTCACTTTGTGGTTTTGCTTTGCAAGTGACACACAGAAAGCATCACCACTGGATGGCATAATTTTTTGAGTGACTGTGTACAGTATGTGTGTATTAGAGGGAGAGAGGTGAAGAGAGTGTGAGGTGCAGTCAGAGTCAGTGTGTTGATGGGGCCTCACGTGGAAGCTGTGTACTGGGAGATCATTACTGTAATGAGGGCAGCATGGCAGCTACACTGACTGGGCCTTAGGCTGCTCAGTACAACTGATCCAGTTCTGTGTGGATAACATTGATCAAGGCCCTCCTGCATAGCACCCACCATCCTTTCCAAGAGTAGTGAAATGTTACTGTGACTTATTTAAGGAGGCCTGACCCAAAAAAAGCGTATCGTTGTCTCCAACTGTCCTGCAGTGTCAAACTGCAGCTGAAAACATGTTGATCCAAACAAGTAGCCGTGACTCACTCACCCAGGGATAAAATGAATCAAATACTCAGTATGAAAATAGGACAGTTCATATTAGTTCATATTGGTTCATGTACAGAATGAATATATATTCATGCAGGGCAGCCTCTCTGCTCACACACACACACACACACACACACACACACACACACACACACACACACACACACATATGTATATATATATATATATATATATATATATATATACATATATGAATAAGATCTTTGTATTTGCTATATGCTCCATTAGAGAGAAATAGGAATCCTGTGGGCAGAAATATATTATCTTGAATCTAAGACTCAATTGACAATCCTGCAAATACCAAGTCAGTAAGTCTGCATAATTAAAATTTCCATGGGAGCTAAAGTAGGTGTGAGTAAGAACTCTTGCTTTCCCATGAAGGCTTGTTGCCGTCTCTGTCTCTATCTGTAATGCTGGAGCTTTTAAACCTAATCTCTCCCTGTGTTTCTCTCCATGGTGCTGAAACATTCAAACTTCAAACTCAGGAATCAGTCCCCCATTCACTCATTCTCTGCTCCCTGCATGATACTGTAAGGTGGTATTTCATAATCATCCCGATGCTAAGCATTACCACTGACAGATCTTGTATTGCAAAGTTAAGAATTGTGGGAATTTTTAAGGCTCAAGGTAGAAGTCTTTGTTTCACTGTTCTGCCAGCTAACAGTCTCTACTGAAATTCAACCAGATCTTACAGACAATACAGCAATGTAATAGGTGCTGGTTATGTTTTAAGTATTGATTATTGTTTTATGTATATTTTCCCCATCCAGTACTCACTAATTTAATTACCACATATATAAGACATGTTTCGCTCATTTTCTTAATTTGTTACTTTTTTTTTACTTTTTACTTTAGTTTTCTTTTGTAAAGTATATATTTTTTGGGCTCTTTATTGCCTTTAATTGATAGAGACAGTTGAAGGTAGACAGGAAATGGGGGCAGAGAGAGGGGATGACACGCAGCAAAGGGCTGCAGGTCGGACTCGAACCCTGAGTCACTGCAGGTCGGACTCAGCCTCGGTCGCCAGCTCTTCCAACTGAGCTAACCGGGTGCCCACTACTTGCTTTTCTTATTCACTCAACTTTTCACTTTTCACTAGTTACTATGGTTACTACCTATTACTACTTAAAACAAATAAACAGCTTTCCTAGTAAACACTTTTATTACTTTTGATACCATCCAAATGTTAGTTTTGTAATTCATTATATTTGACAACATTTTTAATTAAACCTTAAATTCTACTAATGACTAATTAGATAGCAGCATGACAACAAAAGACATGATAGTAACAGGTGATAATGAGTTAATAGGCAATCAAGACCACCTAGTGACTAATCATGTAAAGCGTTACTTAAAATGTGTAGACCCATAAATTCATATACATGTATTAATGTACATTTTTATTACTTTTGAAATTACAAGTTAGGAAAGTTATTATTATTATTTATTAAATTTGAGTAGTTATATACAGTACAGCAATTTAAGCAAGTTTATTTTTTAGCAGTTATTTTTAGAGAACAAATGACAGTGTTCCTGTTCTGCCCTCTCTCTTCACCTCTTGCCACACTGCTCCCTACTGTACATGACTTGCACTGGAGGCCTGTTTTGACCTTTAACTAGGCTAATTAGTATTGACTATAGTTGAGAGAGATAGCGATAGAGAAGCAGATGGACAAATGTAGAGAATGTCTCTCTGTGCATCTCTCTCTTCATATAATCACACAATGTACACACAATTACTTATTCATTGGGTATACTGTACTTATAGACAAAACAGTGTTACAGTACATACACCGATCCCTATAGTGTTATGTATTAAAATCCCAGTAAGGAGCATCACAGCCAGCAAGAAAGTTTATTGAGTGCAGATTTTCCAGGGGAAATCAGAGTGCTTGTTAGAGCAGAAAGTGAAGGGAGAGGGGAGTGGAAGTGAAGCGAAGAGAGGAAGGAAGAGGATGCAGGGGAGTCTGGAGTACATAAAAAGTGTCAGAAGAAAATACTGCCTTCTTCCTCCAAGGCCTTTTTATATATATTTTTTTTCTTTTGGGAAGTTTGTTTGTTTTTTTGGTTGTTTTTCCCCCCCTAATATCATAAGCCATGAAAAGATCAGTGCATTTTTGTTATCAGTTAACAAGACGCAGTAAGCACATGCCAAGTTTTTCCTCATCAAGTGTTTCATTTGAACTTGTAGCGCAGAAGTCAGTGTTGTCAGGCGTGGACAGAGTAGCACCAGTCTCTCCTCCCACCATGCATTTAGCTGCCATGTTGAGTGGCTTCGCTCTGACTGCTTGTCAGTCTGTAGCTCTTAATGCCAAAACTAAGTACGTGAAGAGAGAGTGTGACAGACAGTGAGAGAGAGTAAAAAGGACAGAAAGAATGAGAGAAAATGTGAGAAATCTATTTTTTTTTGTCCAAACTTCTGCACCCTCCAACATACTCAAACACTTAAATTTTGTAAATCGACTATATGATGCATTTTGTATTGCCCATGACACCCCCATTGTTTGTCATAACTGCCATTTATGAAGGCCCATTTTTCCCACACTTCATATTTAGTTGCTTAAGATGACTCACTCCTGTATGGGTGGAAAGCACACAGACTATCTATCAAAAAAAGAAGCAGGATCTTCTCCGGCTTAAATCCTTAGCACTGCTGTACTTTGAACAAAAATTGGTATTCTTGTCATTGGTTAGGGGGGAAAGCAAGGCCTGCTATTTCTCATTGGGCAGCTGTCAGAAGCCACTGCTCCTCTATTAGTGGGTTTGCAAACTCCAGGATTTATCACAGTCAGGATAAAGCATTCTTTAAGTTATAGGCAAAAAAACGTTTAAAAAGTAATCTATTCTGCATTGTAAAAAATTAACAGGCTGTATTTTTTTGATGCCCTCTTTTCTGCCACACACAGAACTATTCAGCTGTGTCTCAAGATGCAGAGAAATACGCACAGTATTGTTTTCATCAATCTTGGGATTGATTATTGGATATGGTGGCATTAATTAGATAGTGGGACCCCACAGCCTGTTTCTCAGGAACACAGGAATTGAATTGGCATGACAGATGGATGTAAACCTAAGCGTACTGTGAACTTCTAGATTGGAAAATATGCCCTGACCCTTCAATTTTTTGCTCACTGTTTGAAGTGTGTTATTTATGGTGAGAATGGATGCTGTCAAGTCAGATTTATATTGAATTCACTGAATAGTGCCTGTCGGTCGTAAAGTTCAAAGAGCTTTTGAAACAGCCAGCTCTGTTTTCTCTTGTCGAGCTATCTGACAGAGATGAGATGTGGTTTGAAAAGGACATGGTCAAGGACGGCAGAGCAAGGATGTGTTTCAGCAAACACTTTTACTATGCATTGTGCATGCCTTGGGCAGCTGCTTAGTCATAATCTGACATATACGCACACTTTCTGGTGATAAGGTAACACCTTCGCCATGCGGCTGAGGAAGCTGCAATGAGACTGACTCAAGTAAACAAAAAAAGGCCACACAGTCACACCTCGAGTAACTGATTTGTATGCTTGTATGACTGTAACGTGGGCATGTGGGGGTTTATGACCGAGTGAAAGGCCAAGTTAGGGAACAGCAGACATCTGTATGAAAACAAGTTATTTTTCATGCAGCCCAAACAAATTAATATATGTATGAAAGGATCAGTCTTTGTCTTTTTGGAAAAAAGAAAAAAAAAAGTAATAATTTAATAATTTATTCAGGATCACTGACATCGTACTTGTGCTCAAGTTCTGTGGTTAGAGGATTTTTGCTGAACAACAACATATTTTTATGATTGTTAAGATGATATCCTGCAAAATGTTTTTAATAGGGTGGCCGAGGTTAGGCACGGAATCAACCTAGAGTGGCACTGAGCATGTTTACCCCAGGGGTGTGGAGTCTAGGCAGAATCGTCTTGGCTCTCTCTGCTTCCCTGGAGTCATGAAGATAGGTCTTATTTAGGTAAAATGAAAGGAATCCCAGATTTGGTCTTCTCCTGCACTCTGCACTCTGCACTCTGCGGCTAGAGAAACGGTTTTTATAATACATATTTTGTTGGGAGTAAAAAGAGTAAAAAATCTCAGACGTGAGGTGTATTGACCTCATTACTTTGCCCATTTTTAACAGAGCATAACAGCAGCCATGTTTGCATGCATGGCAACAATGGGGTACATATGAAGTACAGATTAACTTGTGTTCATTAATATAAATAACAGCAGCAACAACACACTACTATAAGTGGTAACACATTATAAATCTTTGCAAAGAAGGGACTAAGCTCACTAACATCATTAACATCAACCAGTCTTTAATTATAAGAAATGTAATTGCAGTGTTTTGCAAGGTTTAGGTAAGCATAAAAGGACCAAAGTAAAGATGCACTCGCTCACACATCCAGTCTCAGCTCAGTCTAGCATCTTCTTGGGGTTAATTGCTTGTGTACTCAAGCACAGATGCATACGCAGACTCTGGAAGAACATACTCTACGTCTTAGCTCTTACTGAGTTTCTTTAAGCTCCTAAAAGTAACAGACTGATGCTCACTTTTGAAAGTGCTGTGATGTAAGATAAAACTGGAGATTAGATGAACCTTGAACCTTGAGATTTGATGGAAGTTTCTGTGCACTGAGCAGAAATGCAGCAAACGCTCGCTTTGCGCTTATGATGAGTTCAGTCCATTTATTCCTAGACGATGCAATTAGACATACGTGTCGTTTTTGATCCTGGATTTAGGTTTCTTTGTTTAAATAAACTATGTGGCATTCGTGACCTTGCGCCATTGTGCTTCATCTCTTGGCAGTGTTTAGAAGTGACGTGAATGAACCCTAAAATCTAGAGTGTGATGTGTCATTTTTCAAGTGTTTCGAGTGGACAGTCCTGCAAGAAAAAACAAAAAAGAGATACCCATGTGTTACCATTGTGAGTGTTGTGAGTGTTCTCTTTGTCCCTCAAGAGGTCACCAAAGCTGTCAGCTACTCATCTTCCTTAAGGCCACTATCCACACGCCAGTCAATGTGTGTGTGAGTGTCTGTGTGTGTGTTTCTTTATTGGTGTAGGGCAGTTCAGGGTACGTTTAGCACTGAGCGAATTGCAGCGGGAGCAGTTTGGTCAGCTGTGATTAGCTGTAGAGAAGCTGAAACATTGAAGGTGACTACAGCGGCGCCACTAATGCCTGTGAATGTCACTGAAGCCAGGACAGAAAGTTTACTCTAAATTTGTGTCTTTGCCTCTGGAAAACTTAGTATTCAAACACTTTCCCCAGGAGATTTTAAGGAAAGTATTCTGCTGATGATGCCCAAACTGCCCCTTCACACACACACACACACACACACACACACACACACACACACACACACACACACACACACCTACCTGATAGATATGTATTCTCGAGCCCAAGTATCAACAGCATTAATCGTTCTCATTGCTTCAACAGGGGTGATTTACACTGCCGGTATCCTGGACTGTGAGACCAAAGACTCCTATTGGCTAACAGTCTATGCCACAGACAGAGGGGTTACACCCCTGTCATCTTCTATTGAGGTCTTCATTCAGGTATCCACACTCTGCTGCCAATACTTACATTATACTAAACATGCACAAGGGGGCTTATACAGAGGAACCTTAATCAGACTCAAAAATAAAACATCATGCTTAATAATTGATGAATTTGTTTATTACTCTCTAAATTAATTTAGAATTCGTTTCAAATTAATCAGCAATGAGCCCAAAATGTACCGGTCCAAAACAGCTAAACTACATTGTGCCTTTGCACATCAAGTGATGCTAAAAGGTTACAGCAGTTTCTCAGCGGTCATACTCTGGAAAGCAGCATAACTTTTCAAGGCCTGCTTTTAAGTCTACAGGGGGTGATTGTTTGATCTGAAAATATAATTTGGGTGGAGTATTCCTTTCTTAATGTCACATCCAACCACATTTCCAACACAAATGATTACATTTTATGTTCTGTCCTATATTTATTATATATATCATATTTGGCTATAGACCAAGCATTCCTGTTGTTATACATTATGCACATTATGACACGGAAAGGTGCTGATTAGCTACAGATTAGCTTCTTTGTCTGTATCTGTCACTGATGAATTCTCACAGCCTGCAAACTTGTAAGTGTAGGATAATTTTGTTGCGTTAAGTGTTACATCCAAAGTAACAGCATGAACAATTACGGTATTCTCTAAAATGCTGAAAATGCTCAGTGCAGTGGATAACTATAGCAGTGCTAGGTCTGCAAGCAAGAGATACACACTCTGCCTCAGCTTCTATTTTATTTGGCACTAAGTAATCCACTGTCTAAACACACAAATACAAACATCCCCGCTGCTCACCCTTTGGGGAAGAGTTCACCAGTGTGTAAAAAAATAAACAGCCTTTTCTGGCTTCAGGATATTCAGGTGTGGTGGTGTGATCGGGTGCTTTACTCCCAGCCTCTTCATCACAGACAGAAATAGGGAGATTAATCAGGCACAGGTGCTCCTCATTCGGCGGCTGAACCATCTCTCCAGCCTCTCAGCAAACACTCCATCAGCGCTCTGTTTGCCATAAATATTCTAGATATATAATGTAAGAAGGGAAATTAATTTGCAGTGCATTTAAAGTGTGACATCTATGACATTTTCTGGTGAATAAATTTCCATTTTGTGATTGATAACAGATCAACCCAGACCCAGTCCATGCTGCACTTCACGAGTTGTTGATTAACAAAGATACTAAAATCTGCAGATTGATTTTCTTTTACAACAACACAATATTAACATACATGCTGTTTTAGAAGGTTTTATCAACACATATATTGCCAATTCAGATTCAACTCAGACGTAGAGGACTGCTAAGATATATACAAACAACACTGCTTATTCCTGTCCCTTGCCCAATCCCTGCTTTCTCTCCCTCTCTCCCCTTTGTCTCCCCCTCTTCCTCTGCTTCGTCTTCTCCCCTCTTTCTCTCTCAGGTAGAAGATGTCAATGATAATGCTCCCCTCACTTCGGATCCTATTTACCACCCAGTCGTCATGGAGAACTCTCCAAAGGATGTGTCAGTCATCCGTATCCAGGCACAGGACCCTGACCTCACCTCCACTCCCAGTCGTCTGAGTTATCGCATCACTGCTGGCAATCCGCAGAATTTCTTCTCTATAAACCCCAAAACAGGTGAGACTCACAACCAGACACACTATTTTAAATAATTATTGCCTTGGTGACATAATTGCCAGTATAATATTGTAGACTAATGGAATAATTAGTAATATCCTGGTAAACAACAAATAATTATACCAATCTTTTGTGTTAATATGTTTACATGCCTCTGAAATTACTCATGTCTGATGCACCTCCTACTCTACATTCATTCAATAAAAGGCTTTGGTTCCCACACAACAAATTAAAAAGACTTTTGTGCCCACACAGTAGAACATCTAGGACACTGATGAGCCACCCAGACAGTCTTCACTGTACTGAATATTGCTTCTAGTCTTCTTTAGGGGTGAAAGCTATTTGCAATGTACTTGCAGAAATTAATGTAGTTAGTCTTTTATTAAGCCAGTGTGTGGGTGAATATCTTATAATCATGAAGACATTTACAGTCAAAGCAGTTTCCTTTCCCATTACTTTTGTTCCCTGAAGGAATGCCAAATAGTTTATTTCTATGCATTCTGACATATGTAGTAACACAAATAAAAACTCAGATGGTCAAAAAAGTCGAAAGGGAAAACGAAGCTGAAGTTGGCAAAAGGTTTAAGGACTAGGATTTGAAATTAGGTTTTTATTTAAAAAATTCTGCCAGCCACCATATGGGTTCACTATAAGCCTTCTACTGTGGGATCAAGACTGGGTCTTAAAGAGTCTGAGCTTGTGAATTGATGCTCAGACAGCCTGCGGTTATATATTATCTCTGTGGGAAAATACTGCATGTGAAATTAAAACCTGTCAATGTGTAAAAAGGGTTAACATTTGCACCCTGCTTCTGTCTAATTTTCCTTTAATGTGTACTTGCAAAAATAGAAATTTTTTTCTGTGAATGTAGCCTAATTGGGTGGTAAAACTTGCCTTCTGATTTACGTAATTGCCAGTGGGTAGTTATATTTTTGTCCAATTTGACTGCGCTGTAAAGATGGGATCAGAAATTGTGAGTGTATTTTTAAAGAACACTGATATAGCAGTACACTCCTACAATATACAGTAACATTGTTGGACTCACTATGGACAGTTAAAATCAAAATCGATGCAGCAGAACCAGAGAGATTATCTTTTTTTGAAAAAATTTGGGGCTTCATATGCCTTTATCTGATAGGAGAGGTGAAGATAGACAGGAATTGGGAGAGAGTGGGAGAAAGACATGCAGCAAAGGGCTGCAGATTGGATTTGAAACCGGGCTGCTGGACTCAACCTACAGAGGTGAGGTACTGTGCACCCTGAGATTAAGAATTCCCCTTCCTTGTCAAAATCTGTTGCCTACATAACTGACCACTGACAGTTTTTTGGGGGATATTTCAGATTTGGGTGTGTTATGTTACTGTAGTAGCAGCTAATATGGCCTTGAGCTGCTAGCCTCAAGCAAAGATGAGGAGCAGGGTACAGAGGGATAAGGGGTAAGCTCACTTATTTATAACTCCACACCCCAGAACTTGCACAACAATTGGCTTTATGTAACTTTTTTTCCACATATGCAGTAGCCCATTCCCCAAGACCTTTGAAGAGTTTTAAATGTGCAGCAAACGACTTTTAGAGTAGAATTTGCACTAGAGCGCCAGCATCTCAGACCAAAATGTACGAGTGCTACAGCCCACCAGACTCAATTGACAAAAACACGAACGTTACCTCCCAGTCACTGCACTCAGCTCTACACGGAGCAGATGGGCTTTGTTAACAAACCCGAAAGAGGCTTCATAGGGGAGGGGAGTGTGATGTCCTTTTGTGAAGAAATGGCGTTACTAATAGTTGTTTGCTGCTATATTAATGTTCTAAACCTCGTATATATATAACCTTTAAATTTTAGATACCAAGTTAGAACTTTTTATATAAGAGATAATTTGTGCATATTTTTTATAACACATTCTCAGAATGTTTCTAGAACCACAAATCTTTTCTACACCGTGAATTTTATGTGCTTATAAAATCTTTTTTTAGACATTCACACACTTGAATTCCTCATGCATCCAGGCTCACAAAAGACGATTTACAACTGCAGCCTGTGAACTGAATATCATTTCACAACATTATGCCTGAACATCATTTCAAAACTCAGAATCTTTTAGACCCTGTGTAAAAGAGCCCGTCTTGATCCCACACTTTTCACAGTACTGGTGTACTATAAATAAGATTTAAAAACCTTTTATTTTTCTTGTGTTTATCATTTATTGACAAAATGTCCATGTTTGAAAATTTGAAAAATTACCATTCAATCTGTACAGAATACAAATATTATTAAAGCAAATAAGCTCAGATGTGTTTCAGTTTTGGCTGCCAAGTTTGAAGTCTAGGGAGGGCCCCTGCATTCTCAGAGCAAGCTTTGCTCGAAGCATCCATTAAAGAATTATTGAAGAGGTGAAATGTTTTATTCAAATCCCGAGGAACGAAATATGTCTATTCTGTCTCTGCCCTAGATTAAGTTATGAGTAAACAACAAAAGGCACATTTCATCGGTTACATGGACCTGTATTCTGATTTATGTCAATGTAATGATCAAAAACCAATGGCCTATATGTAGCATGCAGCGTGTTCGTTATCAAGTTACGGGTAGAAGGAATCCCCTAATGGTGTGCTGTTGCATGCTCACTCTGTGTAAATCAAAGTGCGTATTTACATTTCTCTTTCTCTATGCATATCTGTTTTGTGCATTACAGCGTCATGGATATATAATATTGACAATGTGTAGGGAAGTGGGCCGGACGCAGCCAGGGTGAAAAAGCTATTGATCCCAATATAGACATACTGGTCCTCACACGCTCATTAAACTTCTCACTCTTACTCTTGACCCTTTAGAGTCCTTGAGAGTAAAATATGATTCAAGTCATATATCTCCTAGCTGTAATTACTCTGTCTATGCAGATGCATCCACCGGATGTGAATCCCATTAATACAGTTGCAAAATCACACTGAGTTGATTTGTTTTGTTTTTCAGTAGTACTGTTCAACTGCAGTACGCATGATTTGTGTGTGTGTGTGAGCGAGTGAGACAGAGAAAAAGAGTTTGTGTGGCTTTTTAATCAATTGATTAATTGGTTACAGCAGTGTGTTAGAGAGGCCAGTTCTGCTGCAATGAGGCGATGAAGATGATGCCTAACCCTCATACATGACACTCACGTGGGTGTGTATGCACATGTGTTCATATCTCTGTGTGAACCACAGCACACATCAAACAGCTGTATAAAAATAATTTTTCTTTGTGTGTATGAAAGTGCATGTGTGTGTGTGTGTGTGTGTGTGTGTGTGTGTGTGTGTGTGTGTGTCACAGGGGAGAGTTTTTAGCCATCTGAGCCCTGATGTCGGTCTCTGTCAAAGACCCACAGTATTTTATTATCTGTTACTCATTAATTCTATACAAGGGACCTTATATTTATGACTATCTTGTTCAAATTGTGATAAATTAACTTTCACTTTGATCCTGAGAAATTTGTTTTTAATGTTTCATGCAATAGTTTCTCTCAGAGGCCACACTTCAGGTTGGCTTCCACCATATTATTGAATCCCAATAAATAACATGTGCAAATTGGGATTTTTTTGTGTCGATTTCTTACACAGTTTTAGAGAGGCACAATCACAAAGTGCGAATTTAAATACATCATTACCATAATTCTCACAACAATGTGACTGTGTCTATTAGTTTGGTAATGAGACATACATGATTGAGAGATACATTCAATATGAATCACTCCTCACTGTTTACCCAGTCAAAAACTTTCCATGTACCAGAATGATTTCTTTGGATAGATGAATAAACAAAACCCAGCTGATTGATTTGCTTTTACGAAGCAGCTGTCAGCCACACTATGACCTGAACTGCTGGCAATCCCCTTCAAGTTTCAAATTGTTTTTCAGAACTAGGTTTGGGGTGGTTCAAAGTTATACATTTTTCAAGTTCACTCTGGAAGTGTCAGTTTGATGGGTTTGAGGTTCTGCAACAATTCCCAAAATGAATTGAAGCAAAACTTTGAATGAGTGCAAAGTGTGTAAATGTGCTATGACAGCTTACAGTGCTGTCTGTTTGTCTGAGTGTGTGAGTGAAGCCTACCTCCTTTGGGGGTGAAAACAGAACAGATTAGTGTTGACACAGGGTGTTAGATGGGGTGCTTCTTCTAAAAGCATGCATGTTTGCCGAGTGCCATCATGGAGTCATGTTGACTGTGTGACCTTTTTTTTACAGTCACACAATTGGTTTTGTTGTACCAGGATATTAGCAAATCAATTGTATGTGTTTGAGTCAATATTCAGGATCAACAATGAACCAAAGTATGAATTTTTAAATCTCAAGTTTGTCTTTTTATTGTTGCCCCAGTTAGAAAATGTCCCAGTGCTATTTCCTTTATTTGGCTAAGAAGTAGGCTGTGAATTGACAGTATTTTATAGGAAAGAGGGGAAGATTGAAACAGGCCACCGGACCATTACATACATTTTGTGTGAAGGTGTGGGTGGGGATTTTTAATTATTTTTTTCTCATGTCCAATTAAAGTGGGGGATTGTCCAACTACAGATGTGCTGCGAGCTGTAGATCATTGATTTTTATCAGAGTTGTTACTTGTGCTGTGTTCTGCTGAACAAGCTGCCCCCCCAGCCCCCAGTCTCTCTCCTACAGCTTGTGACCGCTGCTCTAGATTTACTCCTAATTTGCTTAATTGAAGTTAGCCTGCGTAGCAAGCTCAAGGTGACACTGTGATATGCGCAAGCATGAGAGTGTGTGTGCACCATGGCTTTAGTCTGTCCATTGAGTGTTGACTGCACTGACTGATATTTTAAGCAGCAAAAAATAATCCTACTTCACCGCAACGCTTCATTAGACACATTATCACCATTCAAGCACATTCACTGTGATCATTCCACATAACAATCCACACGGAAATAATTTGTGTGTATGATGTCTTTATTTGTACATGCAGGTAGTTACTCTGCCAGTCTTGTGTACAGTTGAGGGTAGAGCAGAGTACACATACTGTGAATGAAAATAAGTATGCTACAGCAAACAGATGTGTTCTTTTTCTTAAACAAAATAATAGTATTTCAGTTCTTGTATCAGTGCATTTTTATCTGCATTTGTATTTGTGTGTAAAATAGATCCAGGCTGTGACAAATGTGCCCATTTGATTGTGTTGGATGGCTCTCATGAGACGTTTAATAGTATACAAGGAACGTGATCAACAACATTTATTTCTTCTGGAAAATAAAAGTCAGCTTACAATACTGTAAAACTGTCATGTAATGGGCTTAATCTTCTCATGGATTAATGTCTGCATTTCCCCCTTGTTTCCCTTCTAGCTAGAATAATGTCTGGGGTGCTTTTGATTTGTTAAACTCACAAAGGTTTTACTGACTAAACCCAGCAATTATTGATTGATTGACGCAAACTGTGCCTGTGTTTGTGTGAGTTCGTGTGGGGGCCATCTTTGTAGTTGCATTGCACATTGACAGTGAGCTAGCAAGCAATTGACAAAATAAGAAAAACACTGAAATGAGAGAGAACAAAAAACGTCAAGGGAAAATGGAGCTGTCGTCGTCTGTGATCTCCGGTGCAGCCTGCTAGAGTTTGTCAAACCATCTAACCGTCATCTGAATAATCTGGTTCGATAAAAGCTATTACCAGTAGCCCCCTCCTTTCCCTCTGTCCTGGTGGCATGCTGGCCAACTGAATGACCCTCAGCTATAAAGCGCCATATGAACATGTGCCAAATGCCATCATCTCTGCCAAGGCTGCAGGCTATATTTCTTTTCAGCAATATGTGTGTGTGTGTTTGCATGCATCATTTTTAAGTGGAGGACTTTATATTTGGAACTTATTTTGGTTTTAAAATTGTCATAATATTTGTAAACTTGTAAAGAGAGTTGTATGCACACTAAATTATGAAGCACTTTACCATCTGCATATCTGTGTTTGTGTAATTTAAAGTTGCCCTTTGATGATTTTTAGGGCTAATCACAACAACTGCAAGGAAACTGGACAGAGAACAACAGGCAGAGCACTTCTTAGAGGTAAAGAAAAACCTTAACATTGTTCATGGGTTTATAGTATTATTATTTATCTGGCCCTGCCACCTGCCACAGCCCACTATTAACAAAGACAGGGTGGAGGACAACCCTGGCAGGCCCTCAAGGCTCCATAAACTGTGATGAATGGCTGTAGTTTTGGGCCCCAGGTTTAGGATTTTCTAAATGTAATCATTCATCATTGGTTATCTTCCCTACTCAGGACGGGAACAGGGAGGAGAGGAGTTGGTCTGCCCGGCATTTGATAAGCGCAGACACTGGGCATACAGATAGCCCTGTGATTACCATTTCTGTTGCTACTGCTGCTCTGCATGCAGATGAACCTGATAATCACAGATTCTCGACTTTAGAGACACGAGCAAACTTCTACTTCCCCATACTTTTCTTACAACTTATTAAATGCTGCTGAATCTAAAAGCACTTTCGCCCTTCTACAAAATGGAATTAAATAACCCACAGTTGACCCACAGTATTGCGGCTTTGTGTTTTGTTTCTGTATTGCCAATGGACTTGTCTAGACTCCAAAACTTTTTTTGTACTGCTTTGTTCAACTTCAGTACCTAATAAGAACCCAGCAGATGACACCACACTACAAAATGAAAGCTACGAAAGCTGTAGAAAGAAGCGTGCATCTAACAGCATCATACACTTAAACATTTACACCTAAAAGGAGTTTAAAATTGGGGTCATAGAAGTCTTTGTTGTTGCATCGTCCTGTCCTGTCCCTTCCTGAGGTTTCAATAGGAATGCCAGTCCATGCATGCCACCCACTGCTTCGCCTGCCAGTCTATGCTGCCCGTTTGTAATTAATAGTCTAGTGTGCAGTGAGGCTGGCAGCAATGGTGTTCACCCTGATCTGGTGCAATTGATCAATGATCAGACCTCTGCCTCTGCCTCCAGGGGATCAATAATACAAAGAGATTTCCTGTGAGCTCAGCCCCACGTGGTCCTGCACTCCACAGTGGCAGCCACACAGTGGGGGCCAACATTTAAGATGTTAATAAACGTATGCACTCACAAATGAAATCCACAATAATGCATCTCTATGACTACCTGATATGTGTTTTGTTTTGTATGTGTGCTTGGACACTTTTCCTCAGGTAACAGTTATAGACGGCCCAGTGACCACCCGCCAGTCTACCGTGTGGGTCATAGTTCACATTGAGGATGAGAATGACAATCCGCCCACCTTCCCTGAGGTTACCTACCGCATCAGCTTGACTGAACGAGACCGCAACAAACGTGGTGAACCGGTCTACCGTGTCTTTGCTTTTGACCGGGACCTCGGAGCCAATGGCAACATCACCTACAGCATTGTTGATGGTAATGAGGATGAAAAGTTCACTATTGACCCCAGGACTGCTATGGTGTCGTCAAAGAAGATGGTGACAGCAGGAAGCTATGACATCCTCACTGTGAGTTTAATATAACAGGTTTTTATAAATGGTCCTGATTTTTATTTAAGTGCTCTTTGGTCTTAACGTGTCTAGTGAGAGATTTCAGCTGAAGCTACAGCACTCATTAGCAAGATGGCAAACATGACAATAGATCTATTGTCTGAATTACAGACTGCAGATGGTCTTACTTGAGATACGACTGTGACCTCCTTCAGGCACAGTGCTCCTCTCTTTCCACTTCCAGAGTGCTGCTTTTCCACTCCTTGTTTCCTGTTTCAGCTATATTCATTGCCAGATAGGGTTCCATTAGTTTATAGAACTAGATGACAAGAGCAAACATTGTTAATTTTTCATCGGACACAAGCCCAGGTGTTTGAGCTTTTGTGTTTTTGGTATTTGCGTGGCCAATGAACTCAAAAGTGCCAAGGTTGGTGGTGTGGCACAGCTGAAGTTCTGTTTATGCACATCATTTCTGATACTCAGCCATGGCACTTGCTTTTCCAACACAACAGAAAACAGTGTATTCATCCTACTTGAGCCCTTTTACATATGCGCTGCAGACACCAGATTTTTCTTATGCGTCTGATTCACTGATTAGTTGGTTACGCCCATGTGCCCTTGGAGTTTGCTCTTGAGCTCGTGCTCAGTTTCAGTGGAAAAGAGCTCGTAGTTGAATTATGGAAACTTCCTTCTCCGGACTGGGACAAACACACTGATCTTCTCCTCCTAAACCATGTTTCCTAATTTTCAGGCTAATGCTGTTTTCTAAGCAAATAATAATTCAAATAAGGTTTTTGACTCTGGCAGTGAGCACCGCTTTTAACACCATATATTTACAATTTTAGGTTCATATAGGTTCCTCCAAAGATTTAGTTGATTCATTGATCTATTTGGTGTGTGACAAGCAGAGCAAGTTATTTGAAGTCAGGCAGGGGCAGCCATCCCATTAAACTGTAATTGCTGGGATCACTTTTGAGGTTAGCAAAAATATTATTTATGGGTGCGACATTGTTGCTGAGGGGTAGGTGTGAGTGTCACTGTGGAGAAGATGAATCTAGGTATAGTTTTGACAATCAGCGTGAAGCGTAGAGGCCAAGTACATTGATGACATTGCTGAATACATACATAGTGTCACCAATCCAGTGAAGTGGTAAATTCAATTTAGAGAAAATCTTATCTTTTCATTGGCGAAATCTTCTGTGGCATTTTGCTCAAATTCCCAAATGATGAATTCATTGACTCCTGTGTCAGCTGAATGTCTGTTTTTTCACTATTGTTCCTTCTCTTAGATAAAAGCAGAGGACAACGGTGATCCCCCATTATGGTCTACTGTCAAACTCCATGTAGAGTGGATTCGGAAACCTGTCCCCTCGCCTCTGCCCCTACTATTCACCCAGAGGTACTACAATTTCTCAATTTCGGAGACAGCCGCTGTAGCTCAGCCGGTGGGAGTAGTCGCTGTCAGCCAGTCGAGCACACCTGTCTGGTTCAATATCATCGGTAAGGAAACAGGACATAAAACAATCCATATTCAGAATTTTCTTGTGCTGTCAAGTTAATTCAAGTGCATTTATTCAGAGTGTTGAACAACTATTAAAAACTAGCCAGGCCACACTAGCATTAAATGACTAAATGATTCTTGTCGTGTGTCATGTTCAAAATACACTTAAATATAGTTAAATATCAATATATTGAATATTATTTTAATCGATTTATTAAAAAAAGGAAATTTAGTTTGATTCCAGAAAGCATCAGATTTGTGAACACTTGATTGAATTGCCTCTTGAGTGAGGAATAAAGTATTTTGAATTTAATTGAATTGCTATATTCATGGTGGAGTATCTTAAATATACTTTTGCAAGATTTTATTTTACTTTTTGTGTCAGACTTGCTTTGGACGAGACAGAACCAACACACTGCAATCAAGGCATTTCACACCATGCAATGTAAAATGTTACATTTCTTGATTTGAACAGCTTCCTCACAGACCTCCACATCAACTTTTCTGTAACTAGGCATATTTCAGTTTCTATTACTTCTCACTGCTAGAGAGACACTGGGGACAGTTTTTGGAAGCCTCACTGCAGTGGATATTCTACTACATTCTGTAGTTGAGATTGATTGGCAGGTTAAAAGTACATTGTCTGTATAAAACAAGTTCACTTCTTTATTGTTATTTTGCCAAAAGCAAGCTGGCAAACAAAGGACAATAAAATAATGGCTTCTGCTGCTACTCAGACTCTGATAGAAACAATGAATCTCCCTTCTGTAACTGTCTGCCTGGAGAAACGGGAGAGTTCTGTCTTGCCTCTTGATTCAAGTCTTTGAAAGGATAATCAGTGAATAGCCCATTATTGATTGCTACTCAACAGTTCTGATTACAGCTCCCTTGCTCAGGCATTAATATGAAAAGGAGTTGATTATTAGTTGATGAATTGATTATTATTTTTCATTCAAGGACCTCAAGGATACAGAAATGCAAGTGAATTTTTCCTGTTCCACTCTTAGTGTTGATTTGAGAGGAGTAATTGAAAAGGAAAAACTCATTAATATTTCACAATTTTTTTCACAAAAAGTGAAAGCATGATGATTATTTTCTTTAAGACATTAAGAACTGGACAGGAGAAGGGGACAAATTTAATATGATTGCATATGTGACAAGTTTATTTGATTTTAAGATCCATGAATGAATCACTCATACTTTTCCCGTACTGGACTGAAGTGTTCTAAAGAAAAGTCATCTTACATTACCTAATAATACACATACATTTTAAAAACATCAAGAGGTCGACTTTGCAGAGTGCTGTACATTCTGTAGATTATGCTGACCTTTGATCGAAAGAATATCCTGAACTCCCTAAATATGAATAATCTCATTCTCTTTCTTTCTCTCTCTCCCTATTAAGGCGGTCGGCTCGCCAGAGAAATGTTCTACATTCCACAGAATGCATGTGGAAGAAACTGCTCCCTCGACACAGGTCTGGTCAAAGTTAATTTTGCCACACCTCTCCCTCAAATGCCCTAGGTCTGGAGAAATTCAGAAAGTGCAGCGTAGAATATCAGGACCTTGTTTAGCCAACGGCAGTATTGATTGATCTGAGCTTGAAAAAGGATTCTCACACAACTCCACACAAACAGCACTAGTTTGTTATCTTTGCCCAGGCAGGACAGGTTCATATATTTAGTTCAGCTGCTATGCTGCTACTTTCGGGAAGTAAACTAATAATTCCGTTCCTACCTCAGAGAGACTGGTCTAGATGGAAATCTGGTAACACTTTATATTAAGGTACACATATTCACCATTAAGTAGTTGCTTATTAGCCTGCATTAGTAGTAGTGGCTCTTTATTAGTTATTATAAAGCACTTTTTAATGCCTTATTCTGTATAAGCATATTCTACAACTACTGGGCCTCTGAGTTTTCTCACAATATTTTGGTCTTTCCAATAACCAATATGCTTTGCTCAGTATAGGCCAGAGTTGCAAGACTTTGAACGGTTACACTTTTATTTAACTTGACTTGAAATCTTTTACATTTTTCACAAAAAAATCAGTGTTTAAGTTTAAGGTCCCTGTCAAGACATATTAAGATTATAATTCATTGGGCGCCCCTATAGCTGCGTGTCATCCCCTCTCTCTCTCTCTCCCCCCTTTTCTGTTAATTTTCAGCTGTCCTATCCAATAACAGCAAAAAGCCCAAAATACATATATTAAAAAAGTCTTAATTCATGTTCCTTAATCACTATCAATAGTAGTTAGGAGGTTATTGAAGAAAAACTCTTAGTTAATGGCCTACTCGTTGTAGATTATGGTCATGCAAAATAAATGATTCATAATGCCTTTAAATATGCTTCTCATATGCAGGCAACTACTTAACAGTGAATATTTGTAACCTAATATAAAGTGTTAAATCTATTTAAAAAAACACTTGAATATGCTTTGATGTTAAAGTGGTGATGCCACATGAGTCTGTCTGATAATCTTTCAGACAAATCCAACATATCTTTTTGTTGAAATATGTGAAAAGAAAAGTAGTTAGTCTGTGTCACTGATGGTACTGCAATAGTAGTCCTCCAGAGATCAATTTCAGTATATGCACTTTTTCGGGTTGTGGTTCATGTGTATCAGAGCATTTACACATATACTGACTTAAACAGGTAGAATATGTGATACACACAATACACTCAAAAGAACTGTTCTACAGCACCACTATTGATTAGAAACGCCACAGGGTACCCAGGGTACAGCAATTAAGGCTGTTTAACAGAACACTAATTAAGCATTTATGTCCATACCTTTTTCAAAACCATGTCATAATTTATTGACTACTCCATTCCTGTTTCCTCTATAGACATAAACTGTACATACTGTATACCTACCTGTTCAGATTATGTATCGTTTATATGTTGTAAAATACAGATGCTACTGGAAATACTAAAACTAACTCTCAGACTCCCTAGAGGCACCTTTACCAGACAGGAAAGAAACACTACTTCATTTTATTTAGGAACTACACACTGTGATCTCTTTTTTCTTGATGCTGTGAGATTGTAGTGTAATATTGACCAAGCTCTCTTCCAGAAAAAAACAACAACAAAAAGAAGCGAATCCCTGTGGCTTGCTTCGACTCAACACGCATCAGTGGTCCTGTGAAAAATGCCCAATCAGTATTCATATGCTGACTAGAGCTCAAGCTCCCAGATATCTCGAGAGAGAAGCTGGAATGAGACGAGGGATGGTACTGAATACTTAACACACATCAATCCTCTCCCTCACTCTAATCAAACATTAAGCCTCTAAACTGTACGCTCACCGCCCGCGGAAAAAGACCCGGCTGCAGGTTTTTGATCTCTGAGATGGGTTGTGTTTTGGAGTGATAAGACAGATGTTTGTGTGGCTGTTAACAGCTCTCATGCTGCCAAGTGGATTCAGTGCTACATTGCATTGCATTTCAGTTCATTTTATTTTCACAGACCCTCCAGCTCCAGACGCAGGCACCTGGCCAAAACAATTACACAGTAATAACTTAGAGCACCTGAGTTTAGCACGCAAAGTGAATACTAAATCACTGAATCATTGTGTGAACTATGTGTGTGTGTGTGTGTGTATGTGTGTGATTCCAGGGAGCTTTGACATGCAGTTTGACCTTCAGGTAGGGGTGGGGACTCTAGTTGTGGCCAAGCCCCTGGATGCAGAGGTGCAGTCTGTGTACAACATGACTATACAGGTGACAGATGGGACCAACTTTGCCACAGCACAGGTACACAAGCTTTTGATTTGTTGTGCACTGGCACAGCCTCTTACACACTCCAGACCCACATCAAATTAAATTATTGTTACCTCTTCCTAGGGGAGCTTTTTACTCTCAACTCTCCTCCTTCCCACGCTTGCGCTCCCTTTTTCTGAAATTATCTCTCGCTGACTATGAAATGTGCTTTTTGTTGCTGTGTCTTTGACATTTCCTGTATTCCTGCTGTTTTGGCTGGCCTACTAGGTCTGCCTTGTAAGGGGACTCATTGATATCAGTGGATTAATGGGGATTAGCTTGGGCAAATAAAGGTCAAGTGTTTGTATAAATACAAAAATTGCCCACATTCCTCTTAGAAAACATCCTGTCCACCTTGAAAAATACCATAACTATTGCTTTGACTATAGAGATTTAGTGTAAATACTGTTGGTATCGCTGCCTTGCAAATAGAATATTCAAGGGGTAGCTCTAACCTACCACTGTATCAAATATTATCAGTCACCAAAGCTAACTCTATACCAGAGCTCTTATCTTTAAGGATAATATATTGTGCAGGATTCGGCTCTGTACCTACCTTTAACTTTTTAAACTCCACTTTTCTTCTTTGTCACTCAGGTGTTCATCCGAATACAAGACAGCAACGACAACCCTCCAGTCTTCTCACAGCCAGCCTATGATGTCAGTGTCTCAGAGGACGTGCCAGTAGACATGGAGCTACTGCGGGTTCGAGCGTCAGACATGGATGAACGTTCCCGTTTGAGCTTCTCCATCTATGGTAGTGTAGACCCAGCCAGTATGAGACTGTTCCGGGTCAATCCCGGTACGGGGGTTGTCTACACAGCAGACCGGTTGGACTACGAGGCTAGGACACAGCACATCCTCACTATTATGGTGAGGCATGGAGGGGATATGTGTTTCTGTGTGTGTGTGTGTGTGCTTGGTTGGCTGTGTGTGTTACTATATGTGTGTACCTGTGCACACTTCTAAATTATGCTTCTCTTGGCAGCAGTTCTTGCCTCACTTAATTTCAGCTGATTTCTTTCATTTATCACCTCCTACAGTGTTATCCATATTCATCTCTCATTTCGCTCCAGGTCAAGGATCAGGAGTTTCCATTTAACCGTGACCTGGCTCGTATCCTGGTGGCAGTGGAGGACTCCAACGATAACATCCCCTACTTCACCAGCACCGTATATGATGCTGTGGCCTATGAGTCTTCTCCCATAGGCACATCTGTAGTACAAGTGACAGCCTTAGACAAAGACAATGGCATTAACGGGCAACTCACCTATACTATGGAAGCAGGTGTGACGCTGTCTGTAGATAAAGAAGTTTATAAGTTTTTATGTCTCTCTTTTCTTCTGTTTTAAACTGTGAATAGCTTTTTAATGCTTTGTCAGAGGAGAACAAACTAGGATTAGTTTTTACCAGTAACAATGTCTTTAACCTTTCTGCCACTTACAGGTAACACCGGTGGTGTGTTTGCCATTGATAATGCCACAGGCCTTATCTTCATTGCCAGGGACCTGGACCTCACCTCTGTAGGCTTTTACACCCTCACTGTGCGTGTCACAGACAGTGGATTTCCTCCGTTAATGGCCACAGCTTCGGTTCGCATCTCCTTGATACTCTCCGACTTCTCCAACCCCAAATTCTCTCAGAAGGAGTATCAGGCTGAGGTAAAGAGAGAGGTGGCTGACTGAAAGGATGGGTGCATGGGGGAGAAGTGTGGGAAGGGGGAGATACATGGAATAAACAAAGGCTGGAAGATGGGAAGGAGGGATGGATGGTAAATCCCTAGGAAGATATGTGATAGGCAAATATCAATGAAATTATGCACACAAATTATATCACTGACATCTTGTATTTACAGATAATGGAGAACAGCACTATTGGAACACATGTGACCACTGTGAGCGCTCTCAGCCGCTCAGCACTCATTTATGATATCACCAGGGGCAATGAGGACTACTGCTTCTTCATCAATCATCATACTGGTGTAATCAGCATGCGCAAACAACTTGACTTTGAGGTTTGTTAATACGTGTGTTTCAACGGAGCGTGTACATATATAATAACTGCCAAAGCTCAGTGTTGACATAAATGTTTTTTTTACTCATGTGCACAAGGAATTTTAAGATAGCACTTTTAGTCATTGCATTTCTTTGTTTTGGCAGCAAACAACATCATACTTTCTGGTGGTGCATGCCCTGAGCATGGCCGGAGTGGAGGCCAGCACCACTGTCATCGTCCAGGTGGGGGATGTCAATGATAGCCCACCTGTCTTCCAGCAAATCAGGTATCAGTGGTGGTCAAAAAAGAAGAGCTGTGTCATGTGTAATTTTCTGGAGCGATTTTAAGTATAGCCTTCCTCTTCTACAGCAGTGTCTTCTTTCTATCTTAACAGGTATGTGGGTGCAATCAGTGAGGCAGCTCCAGTCAACAGTGTGGTGCTGGGAGAGGATGGTAACCCTCTCGTCATCCAGGCGACCGATAAGGACCGCAATCACAACGCTCTTTTAGTGTTCCAGATCCTAGATGAGACCGCTCGTATGTTTTTCAGTGTGGACTCAGGGACTGGATCAATTCGGTAGGTAAAAAAAAGAGCAACTTAGAAACTGATTTTTTTCTCATAATTTCTCTACCAAAGAATTGATTTCTGAATGTTTTATACATTTTAGAACAATTGCCAGTCTCGATTATGAGACCTTCTCCGAGTTCCTCTTCCGGGTTCATGTTAGAGACAGTGGTCAGCCTCCTAGGAGTGCTGACAGCCCAGCAGAGGTGGTTATAAAGGTAAGTAAATAACATGTTAATCAACTTTCACTGCCTCATAAACTGCTTAATCTGATTCTTATGTTGCATTTGTCGACATTATTTTCACTGCTTGTATCGCCCTGTCTTAGGTGATCAACATCAATGACTCACCTCCAAAGTTATCACAGGACACTTACGAGGCAGTACTCCTCCTGCCAACCTACATTGGAGTCGAGGTCCTTAGGGTTGAGGCTGTTGACCCCGATATTACCTCTGACTTCACCCTGAACCCTGACAAATCCATCACCCCCCAGCTGGTATATTCTCTGGTTGACAGCAATGTGGAATACTTCTCCGTGGAGCGCTACACTGGAGTTGTGACTGTCACAAATCAGAACCTCAGTAAAGACCGTTACCGCTTCAATGTGAAGGTAAGCGATTGGAGAAGACACAGAATTTCTATCTATCACTACCTTAGATAAACAGCATATAATTGGCTTAGACCATGGCTTATACCGGCTCTCATGCTAATGATTTCCACAGGGAGGTCAGCGCACAGGGTCAGCTGCATTGTACACACAGAGCCCATAGTTATTCCGTGTCTTGGTGTAGAAAACTTCAATTAGTTGATGCAGGATTTTCTGCCCAGGGTTGTCCCAGGGTTGTTTTGTTAAGAGAGAAATGGACAGTGCATGCAAAGTCTACATATTAAAACCCTAGAATTACATCCTCTGCATTCCCCTATTGTGAGTCAGCTGTCAAATACACGCAAATAACATTCCCACTCAACAAGGCGCTCTCACCCTTCTCTTTTTCTTTGTTTTAAGGTGTGGGATGGACGTTTCTCCAGCACCGCGTCGATCACAGTGCTCGTCCGAGAAGCTATAGACAGTGGCCTTCTCTTCACCCTCCCTGTCTACTCCGCCTCCATCCCAGAGAACATACCCAATGTCACTGTAGTGACTGTTGTCAACATGGTCGGTCACCGCCTCAATGAGCCGCTGAAGTACACTCTGCTGAACGCTGGTGGGCGATTTGCGATCCGGCCGACCTGTGGAGTGGTGCTCACCACCGGCGTGCCTTTTGACCGAGAGGAGAAAAGAAGTTACGAGTTGGTGGTGGAGGTCAGCAGAGAAGATGAGATACTGAGGGTGGCCAGGGTGACTGTACAAGTTGAGGTGGGTGTGCATGTGGTTTTTATTGTTTTTCTTGTTAGTGTATGTGACTTTTCTGTTTAGTCTGTTTGTTGTTGTATGTTTGTTTATTTTCAATCATTCATACCCTTTTACATTATTGTATGTCTGGTGCCTCACTTTTGCAATTTTGTTCAGGACTCTCCCTTTAAGTCTTGCAAATATTTAAAGTTATCCAGACCCCATGTGGAAGTTTTTGTTTGATGCTTTGTTTTTTTGTTTGATATTTAAATTGTAAGGGTACAGCTTTAATAAACATGGTGTTTTGGTTTTTAATATTTTAGTATGTGTGATGCAAAGTGGGTTCAATAAAAAGTAGGAACAAGCAGATAGAAAATATGTGCTATAGATAAACAAATATTTTTTTTAGATAAATAAAAGTTATTTTACCAGAAAGTATGGGACAGTTATTTGTTAGTGTTATTTACCATCATTGTGTAGTATGACATTGATCATTATCCCTTTGGATTAACTGTTAGATAACTGTTATTTCTCTAGGTGGAGGATGTGAACGACAATGCTCCAGAGTTTGTGAACCTGCCCTACTACGCTGCAGTGCAGGTGGAAGCAGAGCCGGGATCAACTATTTTCAGGGTCACAGCCGTTGACCAAGACGACGGTCTGAATGGAGATGTTACTTACAGCCTTAAGGAGCAGCACAGGAACTTTCAGGTGAGAGCTACAATTTCCTGCTCTTAAATGTTTTCTTAATTTTATATGGGGGATATACATTTTTCACGAGTGTATACATTCTTATTTATATGCAGGTGAACCCTGTGACAGGAGAGCTGACCTTAAAGAGGGCCTTTGAAGCAGACTTATCTAATGCAGAGTACAAAGTGGTCCTTGTGGCCACTGATGGTGGCTTCCCTTCCCTGTCCAGCACAGTGGAGGTTCCTGTTACTGTAGTAAATAAAGCCATGCCGGTATTTGACAAGCCCTTCTATGGTGTCACTGTGAGAGAGGATGTTCCCATGGCCACCTCTGTCCTGTGCATTAATGCCACAAGTCCTGAAGGCCAGAGCGTCATATTCACCATCACGGATGGAGACCCTTCCTTCCAGTTTGACATTGGCTTTGACACAGGAATCATCAGTGTCATTTACCCATTAGACTTTGAGACAATGCAGTACTACCGGTTAACGGTGAAGGCTACAGATACGCTGACTGGGGCGAAGTCTGAGGTCGATGTAGACATTGTCGTGCTGGATGTGAATGATAACCCACCACTCTTCCAGAACAACTCATACTCCTCTGTGCTGGCTGAGAACTCCATGATCGGAACGACCGTGTTACAGGTGTGTGTCTTTGTTTATTGAGTCAGTCCAGTGTGTACTCTTTCTGAATGATTGTTTATACCTAAGACTCACTTTGGCGGTATTGTGGGTGAATATTAGATGCTGAATCATTTATTTATGGGAAGATAGTGTGATATTTCCCTAGAAATTTCCCAGTGGAAGCTCTTGACCTTCAGCGAATAATAGACCCGTGATGTTATTGCACTGAGGAGCGTGTTTGCGCAAGACAATTCTAAGACACCAAATCATTGAACTGATTACTGTAACAATTTCTTTGAGGTGAGCCAATCATCAAAATAGGTTAATGGCCTTATTTGACAATATTGTTAAATTCAGCAAAAATCAGGAGGTCAGTCTAAGAATATTGGATCACATAGATATTTATCATGCCTTAAAATAAACTTGGGCTTGCTTTGTTGTAGGCCATGCATTGCAAATGCACTTATATCTACGCCTTGAAACACATTTTTATTTGTGGTAAAATTGGGAGTTTTATAGGATAGAATAGGATTAGGATGATTTTATTTTGTTGCATCCTCTACATCCACAAGAATGTCAGGCTATTGAAATTCTATTCACGTCACGGTTTTGTAATTGATAACCTGATGATGATTGCACGTACAGTATAATTACGCTTTTGCTGAAGTACTGCGCTGCAACAAAATGATCATGCCAGGTGCTCGATAATGTGATTTTAAAAAAATTACCCTAACAGGATCTCAGTGAAACCCAGAACTTTATTTCCTTTTTTCATTTGGACTCAGTGTGGACACTGTTGTCAGGATAAACAAATCAGACCTAACCTGAATAATGCATGAGCAAGTGCAAAGTTAAATGTTACTCTCCGTGTAGGTGTTTGCCCAGGACCAAGACTCAGAGAAGAACGCCGTGGTGAGTTACCAGATCCTATCTGACATCTACAACAGCACCGACTACTTCCATATCGACAGTAACAGTGGACTGGTATTCACGGCACGTATGCTCGACTATGAGCTCATCCAGCGCTACAACTTCATTGTCCGAGCGACGGACAGCGGAGACCCTGCCCTCAGCAGCGATGTTAGTGTCACTGTGACTGTTACAGACACAAATGACAACCCACCTAATTTCAGCCAAGCGCTGTACGAGGCCTTTGTCAGCGAGCTGGCTCCCCAAGGACACTTTGTAACATGTGTTCAGGCGTCGGACGCCGACATCTGTGATGCTCATAGGCTGAGGTTAGAAAAAAGACTTTTCTAAAAGTTATGGGTTTGGTGTTTTCTCTGTAATGTTTTGTACCAATGATTAGAATTTTTTGGACACAGTTTCCCATTAAATCCCAGTTGAATTTGTCTAAACTTTTCAGTTCATTATGTTTAGAAAAGCACATTGCTCACCAGGCAGTTTTTCAGTTGTAAAAAAAATATTTTCACTCCATTTTTTATTCGTCTTTTGCTGAGCACAAAAGTAGACACTTATGTTTCCAGCAGTTTCTGAGCAAAATTACACTGTACAACATAAACAACATTATACTCTTTTTAAAATTTGCCTTCAGGTACAGTATTCTCTCTGGGAATGATCGAATGACTTTTATGATGGAACCAGATACAGGGGTGCTCAGTCTGTCTAACAAGAGGCGACAAGGCATGAAACTCTCATATCAACTAAATGTGTCCGTGTCAGATGGAGTCTTCACCAACACTGCTCAGGTGAGACAACTTCTCGGCGGTACCGATTTATTTCTGTCACCTGATTTGCTCTTTTTTTAACCTTTGCAGTGTTTTTACACAGCAAGCCGAGTGACCTTCTTTCGCAACCCCTCGCTTCAAATTTGTTACACACATTCGCAGCTGTCCAGTGCGACTGCAGTTTATTACCACTGGCTGCTGAGCAGCTCTACAGTTGGAGGTTAATGTGTGTTCATGTCATATCGGATTTACTATGAGGATGAGCTGCCAGCTGGAAAGAAATGTTCACATCTGTCTCTTAGTGGTAATTACAAGCGGGACTCTGCTATCCCACAACTCTGATAGTCTACATTATATGTTATAGTAATAACACGTCAACCCATTTTTTGCTTCTTTTTCTTCTTCTGACATGATGCCAACGCAGCGTACCTCCACAGTAGATTATCAGAGAGTGTTTGCCGCTGGATCAATCAATCACCATTTGGTCAGAAGCCTGATGCTCTTACTGCTGGTCCACATGCCATGTTGATGTAATTATGTTTGACAAATATGCTGGTGTTAATTACTGTGATGGCATCAACAAAATGTCAGCAGACATGAGGATGATGATGATGATGGGATGACGATTATAACCATGATGGTGATCCTCAGGTGATTATACGTGTGTTGGGAGCTAACCTGTACAGCCCAGTATTCAGCCAGAGGTTCTACCTGGCTGAAGTCCAAGAAAATGCCCCTCCAGGGTCAAAGGTCATTCAAGTAAGTTTGCCCTGTAACTACTCACTCAGTAATGTTTCCATCAGGACTTATAAAAGGAAACTTCCTACATGAATGATGCTGTAGAACCTCCTAATAATTGATCTGACATTATTTTCTGAATCTCTGTATGGACTTCCAGGTTCGAGCGACAGATGAGGACTCTGGGCTCTTTGGTCAGATCACCTACTCCTTCATCAATGACTTGGGGAAAACTCAGTTCACCATTGATGCAGACGGAGTCATATCCACCGTTCAGAAATTAGACAGAGAAAATCCTCTTAACAAGGACATGGTGCTCACTGTTACGGCCCTGGATGGTGGAGGTATTATTTCTGACAGTAACCAGACTGACTGTAAACTGATTCTCTGACAAAGGCCACCCGCAATTAAGCCAATATAAGACTTCCTCTTACCTTTAAGTCTGGCAGGGCAAACATTTAGCTAATATTAATGCATGAGCGGTCACTGTTTTTTGGTAAAGGCACTGTAGGTGTAAAATGATAGCCTTTGTATAATGAAATTGCACACTCCTGAAGTTTAATGAATATTTAAGCATATTCACATTACAGATGCATTACATGTTATCATCCAGAATGACTTACAGTGAATGCAGCAGTAGAATAAGGCAAATTCTGTCTGTATTAAAACTACATAAAGTTGATAAATCCACACGTTAACTTATGTTCTCATATTTTTCCAGGCCGTGCATCGTTTTGCACAGTGCGAGTTGTTCTTGCCGATGAGAATGACAATGCCCCTCGGTTCAGAGCTGTGGAGTACCGTTTGAGCATTAAAGCAAATGTTGCTAAAGGTTCTCTGGTCACACAGATCCAAGCCACTGACCCAGATGCTGGGTCTAATGGGAGGATCACCTACTCCCTTTATAGCGAGGCACGGCTGTCGCTGGTTGATGTGCTGGAGGTCAGTACGTACTTTATGCTTTAGACCACTGTACTTTATAAAAAACACATTTGCATACTTATTTGCTTACATAGCTGTGTGTTTAGTTTTAATAGAGTTGCAAACATCTTCTCAGTTCCCTAAATAAAAAGAAGCAAAAATGTAACCAGATCCAAACCTCTGTACATTTATTAAACCATATTAAAATGCAAAACTCATGCTATAGCCCTGATTAACAATTAAGACCTATTCTCAAATGGTACCCCCACCACATTTCAGTGGATTAACAGCCATCTGTTAACTGCAATTATACACTTTTACTCATCAAGTCAAAATGATTTTAAGTTAAGATTAATGCTTTGCTGTTCAAAAGGGAAACATAATTAAATAATCAACACAACTATGAAACACAAAGTTGTAGTATAAAAGGCTAATATACTATGGATGAATATAAAAGAAATAATGTAGTTGTAACATATACACCGACCAGCCATAACGTTATAGGTGAAGTGAATAACACTGATTATGTTGTTATCATGGCACATGTCAGTGGGTGGGATATATTAGGCAGCAAGTGAACATTTTGTCCCCAGAGTTGATGTGTTAGAAGCAGAAAAATGGGCAGCGTGAGGATTTGAGCGTCTGCCAAATTGTGATGACTAGACGACTGGGTCAGAGCATCTCCAAAACTGCAGCTTGTGGGGTGTTCCCAGTCTGCAGTGGTCAGTGGTTACCATCCTCGGATTCGTTGAAGGACAAATAAAATTGAAAGTGAAACCACCCAGTGCAAGCCAGAGGCCAAAACAGAGTCCAGTTAAAGCTGAGAGTCAAAGATGTAAGCTCTTATACTAGGATTATTGTGTCTAAATTGATTTAAATGTCACTGTGATATTGCCTGAGCCCAGGTGGAGGCGGACAGCGGTTGGATGATGACTAAAAGCACTGTGGACCACCTCCAGGGGACTGTGCTGTCCTTCTTTGTCAAAGCCACAGACTGCGGTTCTCCGGCCAAACATTCGCTGGTGTCAGCCTTCATCCACGTTGTCCCTCCAGATGCGTTTGTTCCCTCCTTTAGCCAGCCTCAGTACTCCTTCACTATCCCAGAGGACACGGCAGTGGGAACAGCCCTGGGGTCTGTGTACACGGGCCCCGGACAGACCGGGTTCTTCACTGTAGTTGGAGGAGAGACATTCGACAGTAACCAGGGAGGGACCTTCCTGGTGGAGAGGGAAACAGGTCTGATCCGTCTGATGAAGCCACTAGACTATGAGCATGTCAGCATCTTCCGCTTTAAGGTTGCGGCAACAACAAGAAGAGACCTGATCGAGTCTGTCTCCACTGTAGACCTGGAAGTTAAGGTTGGTGATATAGTTCATCATCATCATTTAATCAGATAAAATACAATTCAGAAATAATTTATTAACTGTAATAAAGAAACCACACAATTTAAGAGCTGAATTCATTTGAAAAATACATACACGTATAATTATATCTGAAGATTTGTGATTTTGCAGATTCTAGATGTGAATGACAACAAGCCAATGTTTGAGACTAACACCTATGTAGCTACGGTGATGGAAGGGATGCCGGTAGGGACAAGGATGGTCCAAGTGCGCGCACTTGATCCAGACTGGGGCTCTAATGGACAGGTGTGTGACAGCTCAACTGAGTATTTTGTTCTTTTTTTATTTTGCTGCAAAAGTGTTTTTGTCATTTCATATTTTTTTTTATTTGGAGTGTTGCATATGCTTTTCAAAGCTACTTTATGTATGTTTAAATTGCAGGTAGCCTACAGCCTTGGACCTCTGCTCACCTACAACTTGGACTTGACAAAAGAGGCTCGCTCCTTCACTGGCTCCATCACTTCGAGTTCGGTCTTTGCTATTGACAGTAAAACAGGCTGGATCACCACAGTGAGTCAGATGGACCACGAGGCCTGCTCCAGCTACAGCTTTGAGGTAGTGGCCTCCGATCTGGGAGAGTTACAGTCTCTGTCCTCCACCACAGTGGTAACTATCACAGTGTCAGATGTTAACGACAACCCGCCGCTGTTTGAGAGGGAGCTGTACCGGGGTGCAGTAAAGGAGAGCGATCCCCTCGGCGAGGTGGTGGCTGTGCTGAAAACCAAAGATCGCGACGGCACAGATCAAAACCGCCTCGTCAGCTTTTACATCACCGGTGAGGAAATGAAGGGCACACTAACGTAATGTAGTTCAACACATTCTGTGCTGCAGCAAATGTCCCTCATGCAGTGAGATGAGGTTGTGTTGCATAAAATTATTCATTGGCCTAATGGGGCTGCTATTATTAAAGGTCAAACTTTGAACTAATTTTAACCCAAATGTCAAACACAGCTAACCTTTATTTTTACATTTTCTTTTCATTTGAATATTACAAGGTATACAATTATACAACAAAACATTTCAAGCGAGGCAGAGAGTTTATTCACACTTTCATTTCTCGAACAGGAAGAAAGAACAATGCTGACTGACGAACTATAGTTTGTATTATATAGTTTTTAATATAATCAACCAACCTGCTGCTTTAAATGATTCCAGTAGTGACGATTTTATGGGAGTAATAAAAAAACACGGTGAGGCCTCTCCAACAAAACTCTCACCTTGACACTGAGCTTGATTTTTTCCACTCACATAACACTGTCTGATCATCACTAAGGATGATATATTTTGGCCTCGTGTTCTGGCATTTAAAAATACTGATTGGCCTAATGGAAGAGTTGTAATAAAAGGTCAAATTTTTAAACTTTGAAAGGCCATTGCTGGTACACCACCAGCCTGGTTTACTATGATGATAGATGTTTATTGATTGTGCCAAAGGGTACCTGCATTAGTCTGTGTGTGTGTGCATGGGGGGTGGGGAACTGATGCTTATTCATCCTTTGAATGAAAAAGTCTTTCAGTTTGTTCACAGGACTGTTACAATCATCCTCACTTCTTTCTTTGTGGTGGGGTGTCAGCTTTTTAATCTTCACCTGTATGTAATCTCCAGGGGGAAACCCGAGGGGCGTGTTTGGCCTTGCCCTGGTGCAGGGAGAGTGGAAGGTTTATGTGAGTGGTCTGCTGGATCGTGAGCAGCAGGACTGGTATCTGCTCAACATCACAGCCAGTGATGGCCTGTATGTTGCTCGTACTGCGGTGGAAGTTACCGTCATGGATGCCAATGACAACAGTCCCATCTGCAACCAGGTCAGGGATTCAGACAGATGGAAATGGGTAGAAAAAAATCAAAGCAAACAAACATAGATCAGACTGTGGAATGTAGGAAGATGAAGTACTATGTCATTTTGCTTTTTTAGAATTCATGTTAGAATAACTGCCTTTATCTGCTGTCTCCAGGCTAAAGTGCTTTGTCTAAAAATAGAAAACATACATGCCTTTTGAATACAGCATACGATAATTCAGTCAATGTAAATAGTAAACAGTAAATATGAATGAAAAGGTAATTTTTCGCTGTAGACTAACTGCTTCTTTGTTAAACATTAATGAATAATTTATCAATGAGGTAGCCCCCCCCCCTTTAAATACTAAACACTAAGCTGTATGAATGAATGCCCAAAAACTATATTACATTATACTACATTTTACTAGAATATATTTATATTTTACCAATACCTGATGACAATACACTGTATCATATAGCGTTGATTAGTTAGTTGAGGCCCCAGTAGCTACAATGATGAACTTCCTCTTGGGCAATTTTAAGGGTGGCTTAGCTCAGTAAATGATTCTGTTGAATAATGTTAAAATTTGCATACTTAATGCATGACAGTAAAAAGCCAAAATTTGGTGCTGTAGTAGAACAGGATTTGTTCACTTAGAATATTGATTCTCTGCTCTACAGTTCATTCAAACAAATGTCTTTGTACTAAATATCAGGGAATGCACTGTACATTTAGATAGGGCATTTATATAGTGTATAATATGATAATTATCTTGAAAATGCCCACAGTGAAAAGCCAATAAACTGTGCTCTTTAAATTATACAAATGACAGAAGTTACACAAACAAATTAAATTAATCAGTGATAAAAAGCAATCAACTTTAGCTTTTGTGCTAATTCCTACCTTGCACCTTTAAGACTCATCCTAAAAAGCTGATCTACGAGAGGAAACGTGTGAAAAGGGAAGATAATTGGGCTGTGAAGTCTTTTGGGAATATCTCTTTTCATTTAATAGTATTCTGCAATTCTTCAATTTCATATCATATAGTTGAGAAACTTTCATTCTCGCTCTAAACTCTTACTAATTCTCTTTGAAATCAATCCTCCCTGTCTCCCCTTCCTCCTCTTATATTCTTTCTGTTCTCCAACCAAAAGTCCAACCTGTGTAGCTATAAAGTGCTTACTCTCACACAGTAGCAGCATCAAATGGCTCAAAAGACATTACACGTCAGTTAAAGCACTATAACTATGTTGTTAGCACAATATTCTCATGTTTTTTTAATTATTAAGTGGTAGTAGTAATAGCAATAGTAGTTGTAGTACCTGTTGTAACAAGTACTAGTTGTAACAAGAGAAGCAATAGCATTTTAACATGAAGTATTGGTGGTGGCTCTTAGTGGCAGTAAGTTGTTTAAGTGGTAGTAGCAATAATGGCAGTAGAAGTGCGTGTACTACTGCCGGTTCTGCTACTAGCTATAGTATTAATCATGGTAGAAGCAGTACAGAAAATATTAGTGATAATTATAGTGGCGATACGAGTAGTAAATTAATCTAAAAGTAGTGTAAAAATATTTTTTGTTCACAATGACTATTTCTTTTCTATTTCTCTATTGCCTTAAAAATGTAGTCAAAAATGTAAAGATTTTTTTGCCTTGAAAAATGTCTTAAACTATGAATTATCATAATAGTTGCTAATCATTTCAGATATTAAATCATTTACAGGATCGCTCTGAAGTACAGAGCAAAAGCAGCATGGTGGGATATGCTACATTGCACTTGGACATAGTACAGTAGTTTTCCCATTGTGCTGCCCTGTATTCGATGAAATAGTGAGGTCACAAAGTTCCTTTCTATAGGCAGGGTCAGGAAAGGGCACTTAACTCTGGTGTGCTCGTTCTAACAGCAGGGATAATGGATGCAGCGGCTAACAGTTAAATGTATTTTATGATGGATTGGTTTTTTTTTTCAGGCAGTGTGGTTTCACTCTGTGCTGTGTATGTGTGTTATGCCAGGCGGTGTATAGCGCCTCTTTTCCTGAAGACATTTCCACTAACAAGGGCATCCTGACAGTGGGCGCAACAGACGCTGACTCGGGCTCCAGCGCTGAAATTCAGTATTCGCTGTTTGGCATCGGGGTCGAAGATTTCTACATGGATGCAAACACTGGTACATTCAGTTATCATTTTTCTTTAGGTTTTTGTATTATCAAAAAAATAAATACACTATAGATTACACATGTTTTATACATCTTTATTCACCTCTCTGTTTGTGACCTAAGGTGAACTGCGTACGGCCACTGTCATGGACAGAGAAATGACACCCACCTACAAACTCATTGCCCAGGCAACTGATGGAGGAGGGCTGTTCTGCCGCTCTGACATTTCACTCAAAGTATTGGATGTGAATGACAATGCCCCCTCATTCTCCTCAACTCATTACCTGGCTAGTGTGTATGAGAATGCTGCCCCCAAGGCGTTGCTTACCCGACTGCAAGCCAGTGACCCTGATGAAGGTAAGCCGCTATGATGTTATGCTGTTATATGATAGATTTGTAACACGTCAAGAAAGGATGACAATGAGCACAGAAACAGAATCCTACATACACTGAATGCAGGTTCAAGCCACTATGTTACTAAGCATTTGAACATGTATCTAAAGCTCTTCATGTGTATGAATGTATCTGTTCCCTCCAGGTCTTAACCGCACTGTGGTCTATTCTCTGGTGGATTCAGTGGGTGGATTTTTCTCCATCGACCCGGTGACTGGGATGGTAATTCTGGAGAGATCTCTGGACAGAGAGAGCCAAGACACCTATCGTGTTCGTGTCCAGGCCACTGACCAAGCTGGGCAACAAGGTGCACTGTCCTCACAGGTTGGTGACCCCAGTGACACATCTCACGCTAACAAATCTCAGTTGTATTTCTGTCATTCTACCCAGTATGTGCACTAAACCTAACTGTGGAGACTGTCACTCATGATCCCAAAAAACTGACACTTATTCTAAAATAAATGCTAGCTGGGAAAAAAAAAATAGTAGGCTGCATTATTGGAATTCACAACAGTCTCACAACATTTATATTTTAGATGATTTAATTATGGTATTCTGATAAATTAACTCAGATACAGAGTAATTAACACAGCTTTTAGTAATTAACATCAATTATTTCTAAAAGCACAAATAGATTAATAGACAGATAGATTGGATTTAACCATTTTACCACAATAATGTAATTAGAATTCATACACTACATACTAAATTTCAGATTAGTCAGCCATGGTTTCATCCGTCTGGTGATGTGCAATCTGTATTTCTCTCCATACGCATGGATAAGAAAAGCCAATGAATAAAAACATGTTGTTTACTGAAGACATCAGATAAAGAACCTAGTAGATTTAATCAAGATAAATCTTCATCAAATTGTGCACTGGGTGGGATGGGAAGGATGGGCAAGGTGAGAGTTACAGAAGCAGAAAAGAGGAGGAAAAGACCATAACACAAGCTGAAAATAAACCCCCAAGTGAGCACAGGTGTGGCCATTTTGAACAAATTTATGATTTTTGGTTCTATGTTTAGAGTGTCCACTGTCCATGGTGCTGAAACTGAATATTATGGTTTGTAGCAATATATATTAGCAGCAGTAGTGGTTGCAGGAGTTGTAGCAGCATCTGTAGTAGGCATAGTAATATAATAACAGTACAGAAAGAAATACTACTAGCACTTGTGACATCCCACTTGCAGTAAGTGGAACTGGAATCAAGTGCTCTATGCTGCTTGTGTATGTCAGGAAAGACTGGTGGGACCAAACCCTTGCCAAACTTGAATTTAACCCTCTGTGCAACTTTCCATCTATCCATTCCATCCCTCTTTATATAATATATATATTGAATAGAGTTAACCATCCAAACTAATACCAAGTTGTAACCACTTTAAACCTTACACCTAATCATAGCTAACTATTTCCCAGCCCTTAGCCACAATAAACTTCTCCAATCCTTTAAGATTTAATCTGTTTTAGTTTTGTTATTTCTATTTGCAACATGTCCTTCCAAAATAAAATGTTTAGGAGGATTCAAAAAGTCTTGATATTCAAGGAGCACACCCCAGCAGCTTTAAAAATAAATATTTTTTTCCAAACAAAAGAAAATGGTTTACTGTTTGATTTTGTAACATCACAGTTTTGTTTTAAACAGAAGCATGTTTGAACCTCGTCAAAAAGGCAGGAACAAAGTGACAGTAGCAGATAAGATGAATAGAGCAAAAACAGAATGTATCTGACTCAGTAATGCCACAGATCTTTAACATTTATGTACGGCCAAGAAATCCTCTCTCAGGCTTTGGTGGACACAGACTTCAATTGATTTTTCCTCAGTCCCCTATCTTGTTAGTAAAACCTTCAGTCTCTTTTGCTCCCATTAATGTATGTGGGGCACAGTCCATGGTGCTGAAACTGAACTCAGAGCCTGGAGCAGCGCAGACAAATGAATTGCTAGTGGGTTCTGTTAACTGTTTCTTGTTTCTCCCTCAGGTTGATTTGACCATTTTGGTGATGGATGTGAATGACAACGCTCCAGTCTTCCAGAGGCGGGACTACGCTGTTACCGTCCCTGAGGATGTAGCTCTGGGAACTGAGGTGCTGCGAGTCTTAGCCACGAGCGTTGACATTGGACCTAATGCTGAAATCACATACCACATCCGGTCAGGCAACGAGTTAGGAAAGTTCGCCATAGACAGAAACCTGGGTGAGCAGATGTCCTTGCATTGTCAGGTATTGTATTGTATTAAATTGAATCCTATATGATATTATGTGTATGTTTTAGGATCTATTTCTGTGGCTGATGATTTGGACTTTGAGGTGTGTAAGGACTATTACCTAACTGTTGAGGCCTGGGACAGTGGGAACCCCCCTCTCAGCACTGCCACCATGGTAACCATCGAACTCATGGACGTCAACGACAATGCTCCCGCATTTAGTCAGGACATCTATAATGTTTTGGTCAGCGAGGATGCGTCCGTTGGGCAGACAATTACAAGGGTAACATTTGAACCTAATTTGACTTCATATTGGTCTTTCTGTACTTTTCCCTCTTTTTCATTAACTTTTGTCTCACTCCATATGTGTTATTTCTAGGTATTGGCAGAAGACTTGGACAGCCAGGTGAATGGGCGTATCACCTACTCTATCTTGAAAGGTGACCGGAGTAACCACTTCTGGATTGACCCTGTAACAGGACTGCTCAAAGTCAATAAGCGTCTCGACAGAGAACTAGTAAGGATGCATCTTTAAGTACAATATCTCATAAACAATCAATAGTAATTTTCTGGTTCATGAGCACAGCCAAGACAGAAAATACCAAGTCTGCTCAAGGTCAGCACCCAATGATGTCTCGTATTATGCAAGCCTAACAGTGCCTGATACATACAGATGCTATCATGGCATTCTCATCCCCTTTTGCTCCACCTAGGTGTCCAGGTACGCTTTGTCAGTGCAGGCGTTCGACAGCGGCTCTCCTGCCATGTCCTCCACTGTCACCCTTAACATCGACATCTCCGACGTTAATGACAACCCTCCCGTCTTCAACCCTCCCAACTCCACAGCCATCATACAGGTAACAGCCTCTGCGTGTTTGCTTATGTTCGTGTGTTTTAGGGATAGCGTCATCTCAACTCCTCTCTCTTCATGCTTACAGCTAAACCAAGCTGCTGGCACCACCCTGCTGAAGCTGTCAGTCAGCGATAAAGACTCTCCTAGAAATGGCCCTCCCTTTGAGTTTCGCGTCGTTTCAGGAAATGAGGGAAATTTCTTCTCCCTGGACCAGACTGGAACTCTGAGGTCCAACCGTCTGTTTGGCCCTGAAGCCCCCAGAGAGTTCACTCTTGAAATCCAGGTTTGGCGACGGGTGTATTTTAACCAACATTTATTCAGGAGAAGTTGACTGACAAATAAACTTCAGCATTAGGAGCTGCCCATTACTCACTCTGTCTCTCACTATTAACTGCTATGTCAGGCTATTAGAGTCTTTGGTTAAAAAAAGTAGCCTTATATAAATACATTTCTGTAAAAGAAGCTATTAACGCCACTAATATGGTGGCATAGAAGGAGTTTTTGTGCTGTACTACTGCTGCTTCACAGTGGTGGACTCTTTAGACTGTCTAAGGGGCATGAGTAAAAAAGATTAAAAGGGCATCAGCTGCATGCACTTCATTACGTTTTCTCTACTGCAAGGGCATCCTGGAGGGCACTGCATAACTTTTCTTGCACATTGGGCCAGGGTAGAGGGGGGTTTTATCATTTTTTTAACCACCATAGGGACATCAAAGAGGGGATTTTTGCAGCATTTCTTTGAACATTGCAGCACCAAGGGACCAATCAGTGTCATAACAATGTCATTATCTTTGTCATTGTCTTATAACCATCTTTATCCTATGAACATCTTTACACAGTAAGAAACTGTACCCAAATGTCACTTAGTTTTTATCCATAAATCAGTCCATAATTAGTGAGTTATTGAATATCTTACTGAAACTTTGTCTCTTAGGTGAGTGACTCTGGTAAGCCAAGACTTACCTCTTCCTCCTGGATATTTCTGAGGGTCATCGGGAACAGTCAGTACAAACCCACCGTCTCCCCCTTGGAAATTTTCATTGTCATGGTAACAGATACTTTCCCGGGCGGTCCAATTGGTCGGATCTATGCAACCGACCGCGACCCCAATGACGTGCTGTCGTTTACCCAGAAACTTCAGCCCAAGAGCATGTTTAAGATAAACAGACAGGATGGCAGCATTGTGGCTCTGCCGGGCCTGGAACCTGGCAGGTACACAACACAAAAACACTCTCTAGCACACACACAAAAAACTGGCTAAAAACTGGTTGATATGACAAAAACATATTTCCTTGTTCTCTCTCAGGTACCAGATGAATGCCACAGTGAGTGATGGACGTTTCGCTGTGATAGCTGATGTGTCAGTCAAGGTTGAGCAGGTGACAGATGTGCTGCTGCGTAGTGCCCTGACTTTGCGTTTCAGCTCCCTAACCCCGGAGGACTTGCTTGGTCGCTATCTGAGCCAGATCAAACTAATGTTACGGGGACTAGCCGGATGGAAATGGTCACCAGGACAACAGGATCCCCTCCACATACTCAGTGTACAGTCAGTGATGGGGACATCCGACGTGGACTTGCTTCTGGCCATGGAGAGTCCAGAGACATCGGGTGGGTTCTACTCCCCGCAAGAGTTGTCTGCAAAGCTGGAGGAAGCCACAGAGCGCGGCCAGATTCGAGGTGTCCTAGCTGGGGCAGTGGTGGTGAGCAGTGCTTGTTCTGGGGAGCTGGAGTGTGGTGATAGGGTGTGTGAACAGACACTGGTGATGGAGGGTGGCTCGCCTATCACCTACAGCACAGAGAGGGTCAGCTTGGTGTCACCAAGGTTCAGCCCTACAGAGACCTGCACCTGCCCTGGTGAGCACTGCACTAATGCTTGAAATTGAAATCTAGTGTCCTCGATATCTGTCTTAGCTGCTTGTCAAAGTAAATTTTTGGTATTGGTCATAGGTTTTGATGTCACTGAAAATCAGTGCTATCCTGAAGTGTTTGAAATTGTAGATATTTTTCTAAATTTACTTAAGATATATTTTGTATGTAAGATGAAAAAGATGTTATGCATACAAGAATGCATACATACTTTAAGTAATAAAATACATTTTTTTTTCATATGAAGACAGATGATATTCTGACAATATTTTCTAATGTTTGTGCGTCTTTCCAAACAGGCGGTTCATGCCCGGCTCCTGTGGAGCTTTGTGAAGGTCAGTCCTGTCCAGCAGACATGCAGTGTGTCCGTTCTGGTCCTACAGCGCCATCTGTCTGCCAGTGTCAGCCTGACAGACTAGACGAGTGTGCAGGTATGATTTGGTCCTTCCTTGGTAGACAACTGCCATGTTGCAAGGATTTGATTATATGTTATTTGTCTTTTTTTCTACAAATACATTTTTTTCATCTAATTTCATTCCTTAATCCTCTGTGTGTTTTGTTAATGTGTAGGCCAGACCTCTCTGAGTTTCTCTGGAAACAGTTACATCAAGTACAGAGTGACAGAAAGTGGCCAGAGTGGGGAGATGAGGCTTGGCCTGAGAATCAGAACACTTCAGAGAAGAGGAGTCATTATGTTCACACGTGTTAACCCTTGTACCATGCTCAAGGTAAACACATTTACAATAATGCTATCACATTACTGCCATTATTAATACTAATGCTATTGTTTCCCAAGCAAATGGCGTACTGTATTTTTGTGGTAGCATCATTTATGAACTTCTAATTTTTCCCTTTCCTACCACAGATTGAAGGGGGTCGACTCTGGTTCCAGTTGGACTGTGACAACACCCTTGGCATCATGGGTATCTCTGGCAGACCAATAAACGATGGCCTCTGGCATGCCGTAGCCTTGGAGCTCACTAGGAACTACACCCTCCTGTCTTTGGATGACAGCTATGTGGAGCGCCGGCGAGCAGCCCGAGCCCCGGTTCGCCTTTGGCCTCTGGCCCCAGATTCTTCCTTTTTCTTCGGGGCCCAAGTGAGACCACCGAGTGGGCAAGGCGAGAGGCCAAGCCCAGGGCCGGGGAGAAGCCAGGGCGGGCCAGGACTCGGGGACCGTGGAGGGAGGGTCCCGCCGAGAGCCCAGGATGGCTTCCAGGGCTGCCTGGGCTCACTGATGCTGAACGGCAACGAGCTGCCACTCCAGAATAAGAGGAGCCGTTATGCGGAGATTGCCGGGCTGAGCGAGGTCAAGTTGGGCTGCGTGCTTTATCCAGATCCATGCGTTAGTCAGCCCTGCCTCAATGGAGCCATTTGCAGCAGCCTGCCCTCTGGAGGTCTGTTTAGATGACAGTGTGAATGTGTATGGGTGTATAAGTAAATTACATAAATAATTGTTGTCAATTTTTGCATTTTCATTTTTTCCTAATTCTAATTTCATTTTCAATTGAAATTTTCAAAGTCTGTGCCTTACTTAAATATTCAGTCAATTACTCACAAATGAAATCGAGCTTCAACAGGATTTTATGTTATTTGCTGGTATGTTTAATCTCTCTCCAACAGGCTTCATGTGCAGTTGCAGCGCTGGTTTCACTGGGGGGCGCTGTGAAATTGAATTGACATCCTGCATGCCAAACCCATGCCAGAACGGTGGGGACTGTAAGCCTGTAGGCACTGCATTCCTCTGTGGCTGTCCCAAAGGACTGAGGGGACTTATGTAAGATAAGATACCTGGCAACAACACACACACACACATTTAGACCTTAATTACAGATTAATGAAAACAGTGTTGCTGTGTTTAAACAGTATGTACACAACAACAGTTAGGTTAGTGTTGATTTAGACACATTAACATCTACATCTCCCCTCTCATACGCATTCAAACATGAGAGAACACGTGTAGGACTCATACACACACACACACACACACACACACACACACACACACACACACACGCACACTCATTAGCCCACATTAGCGCCCCAGCTCCAACTGTGTTGTTTTAGTTGTTATTGTGTGAGATAAATTAGTGTTTCTAATTAAATTCAGTATAATTTAGGTTGAAAAGCCTATAATCATTCTCCAGCTTCCTTCTTAATTACAGCTCAGTAATTGCCTTTCAAATAACCTCTCTGCTCATGTGGTTGTTCAGTGGAGCCACCACTAGAGAGCAGTTTTCCCTCAAAAGAGAAAATGCTTCTGCTTTTTAATGATTTTGACAGAGATGTAAAAATGATGATGAAGTTGGATTAAATTAAATTTATCTGATTATATATATATTTGTTTTCCTTTCAGGCAGCAGATTGTTCAAACCATTATCAGTTAATGATGAACACAGATTGAAAAATACTATATTCTGTCATAAGCAAAGAGCTATTGAGTATAATTGGCTATGAAATTGTTTTTCCTGCAGATTGATAAATGGTAACATCACACTGAAATATATGTATTTAAATAACAACAAAATAAGGTATATTCAATTGGATATTGTCCTAAAAATGTGACAATTTCCCTTTAAAAGCTGAATCAAAGACTCAGAAATACAATACACAACTTGCTGCATTCATGAAGTTTATTAATTGGGCTATACATTAAAATACTCATGAGTGTATATCACTGGCTCATATAACCACGCCTTGTTGCCTCTACATTTTTATCATTAAAGCTAAATTTTGGATAGCTATGCAAGTAAGATTCCAGCACTACTCAGAAGTTTCTTCTTACATCCAACCAACTCTTGTACAGTGTTTTGAAAATCCCATCAAGAAAAAATAATTGAAAAGAAAAATACAAGTATTTTCTATCTCTGGCACAGCAGGATGCCATGTTTGAAATGACAAGATAAGATGAGCATGCATGTGTGTGGAGTAAAATTGCGTTTGTGATTCTGTTGGAATGTACATCTCTGTCCAAAAGTATGAGTCTGTGTGTGTGTGTGTGTGTGTGTGTGTGTGTGTGTGTGTGTGTTTTTTTGCAGTCAGGCATATTTCTTTAAATCAGAACCATGTAAATGAGGATAATGGAGAATCTGTGAAGATAATCCCCTGATTTAGCTAAAGAAAGGGCCTCTGAAAAGATGATCTCCAAAGTATTTATTTTCGTTCTGTCTTTTTAACTCACTGTCACGCTTTCATCTTTTATTCTTCTCTTTCACTTTGATACAAATCAAATTCACCACTCCCAATGCATAGCAATTTATTTGTCTTTGCCTCTGCAGATGTGATGAGGATGTAAATGAGTGCAACCAGGACGAGTGCGGAAATGGAGGAGAGTGTGTCAACACATTTGGGTCGTTCTACTGTAACTGTTCAGAGGGGTACGAGGGTCAATTTTGTGATGATATGACAGCTGGTGATCCAGGAGATGACACGCAGGTATAGTATGAACAACACATGAAACTGAATTTAGGAGTAATATACTCAAGTATAATCCAAAAGGTACTCGCTTTTTGGCTGGCTTTTTGCGCATTCAGCTTGCTCCTAATGTGACTTGGCATACTCAGTGAAGCTGTTGAGAATTTTGAGTGTGCAGTGGCCTCCCGGGAAGGTTTATTCAACAGCTTGGTATGTTTGTCTCTGCAGTAGATGAATGAAAGTGTGGTAATGGGTAAATCACAGTTTCCATTTGAAGTTGTCACGCTCTTGACTTTTGTCACGCACTATATAACTTATATTGAGACTGCAAGCCCAATTAATGTTAGACATTGTGAGAAGGAAGGTGCTTTCATTATTCCCTAGGAGACTGTAATTAGAGAAGTAACCATAGTCGACAAAACCTATTATGCTGCTTTCACAACCAATAGATATGTTGTTTGTTTTAAGGACATTTGAGGGCGTCTATTGCTGGAATAAAAGTTCCACTTTTTTACTGAAGCTTACTCATCATCTATTCTATTAAAACAAGAACCCGTGGAATTAATAATTTGCTCTATATTGCAAGAACAAAAATGTGATTGTTTTAATCCACTGCAGTAATAAGTAGAAAAGAAATGGAAGATGTATCCAACATCACATGAAACAAAATGTCAAAATGTAATGCTGCTTGTCTTTTTAACTAGTGATGTCTTAATTTACGTTCATCTCCCTCCTTATAGGGTACAAGTGGGTGGACGGTCAACTGTACACTCCACCATCAAACATGCATATGACTATAGCTGGCATGTGGCTGCCTGGCTGATTTTAAAGGAATCCGTACAGACTGGGGCAGACTGGGGGGAAAAGGCACACTTTGTAGCTTGACCCCTTGATAACTAAAGTTTTTAGGAAAGGTTTCATTATGCCAACATGTGCAGAGCTTTCTCAGCAAGTTGGAAATATGTGATTGTTCTTTATTTGAAATTCTCTAAATTGTTGCTGCTAAGATTCCACCAGACGGTAATACATTTGGAGATCCAGTCCCATCCACATTTTTATAAATTTTTCTCTTTGTGTTACCCAGGCGGAGCCCCTCTCTTACATCGGACCAGGAGAGATAATTGGCATTGGGGTCCTTGCCTTTGTCATCATTCTCCTCCTCATACTCTTCATCGCCTTTAGGAAGAAAATCAAATTTAGAAAAGAGTCCGACCCAGGCCCAGGGACTCAGGTTGTCATGGGTGTGTCAGCTATTTCCACAGAAACCAGCTACATGCTGCACAAGACTGGCATGGGGGCTGAAGGGATTGAGTTTAAAGCCGTGCGTGTGTCAGGTTCACCAGGGACCACGAGCACCTATGGTGAGGTGGGAGGCAGCACTGGGGGTCCTCCCCAGGTCATGGTGCGTCCGACTGCCCACTCCCCTCTACCAGGAGGACTCAGCAACCAGGGCATGAGGAGCGGGGATGGTGACAAGACCACTTCCAGTGAAGGCAGTCAGGTATGCCAAGTGTCCATAGGCATTTATTAATGATTAGAATTGATATTTGTGTCTCCTGCATCATACAATGATCATCACCTTACAGGACGACTTCATCATGGCAGTTTTAGTTATAATCACAAGCAAATAATTAGATAGAGCTGGGAAATATTGAAAAATCAACAAATGAATCAATATTTTCATACTATATACTGCCAATGAAATGAAACAAAATAGAAATCTAAGGCCTTATATCAATTTTATATCATAATATCAATATTTATATCAGCATGTCTTCCAGCTCCTCATTTTCATGACGCTGTGCTTCTGTAATTCGTTTCCTTTTATTGTTTGAAAGAGACCTAGGATATTAGTACCTCTATTACCCTTGTAAATTGTGAACAGCCATTGTGTGCTTGAGGAAGGGTTCCCTGTCCTCAACGTCGCACTATGAAAAAAGTGCTTCTATGGCAGGAAGTGAGAGTGATGCAGTTTTGATATTATATGAGGCAATAAAATTAGACCAATAGTCCCATTATTACTTTTGAACCGATGGAAGGTATTGTACGATTAAAAAGTTTACAAGATTGAAAAATAATTTTTATTTAGTGCCCCACTGTGGAGAATTTCAAAATTCATAACTTTGGCACCCTCCCCCCAGTGGTCCATTCATTCGTAGTGAAGACATAAATATTTAAAAATGTGTCACAAATGTGTATTTTCTTTTTTAAAATGGGAAAAATAATTTCCTAAAACAGCTGGGGATTGTAGTTTTTTGCAAATATTGCTAAACAGGGATAATATTGCACTTGTTGGATTGAGTCAAAACGCTGTTGTTCATCATAATAAAAGAAAATGTTACCCTGTTCAATGGTGCTTTTCACTGTTGTGTTTTAATAGTTTGGTCTCTTCTTTGGATTTTATTTTTTTCATTGGAGTTTTCTTCCATCTCTACAGTTCAGCAGCTTCCTTTCAGACATGTCTAATGTCCGAGGTGTGGCCAATAGGAGGGGAATCGCAGTGTGCAGCGTGGCACCCAATCTCCCTTCAGCATCGGCGTGCCGCTCAGAGCATAGTCCAGCCCACAAAGTGTCATGGGAGGGCGAGGAAACCAGGGAAGAAGGGCTGGAGAGGGTGAGAGATGAGAGAGAGGAAGAATGGGGCCAGAGAGCTTTTGCGTTGGAGAGAACACAGAGGGATAACAGTCCACAGGGTAAGAGTGCAACCATGTGCACACACACTCACATGCACACACAGTTTCTAACCTCTAATCAAAAAGCACAGAGTACACAGGCCATGAACTCATTGTGTTACACCCATACCATCATCTCCACTGAGAGAGCTTCACATTTCACAGTGATCTTTGCCTTTTGATCACACACATCAAAGAAAATTGCCCAGAGTAAGCAAGGGTGGTTAAGAAGTAATATTTTTATTTTGCTTATCATTTCATTTTACTTTTACTATTTACTTCCTAGGAGCAATACATGATAGTAAAACTTACTTTTCTGTTAAACTGCTGAAATTGGCAATGATGTCCTCTTGTATCAGGATAACTCTCATCTTCGTGCACTTCTGTTTGAATGGTCAGGGCAATCAGCCATAACTGATGTCCTGTTTTTGTCCTACTTTTGCTCAAAAAAGTCTGAAGCAAAGAAGCTGGAACACAAAGTCAACTTCTCTACAAAGTTTTCTACTTCTTTTTTTTTTTCTTCCTCCAAGTTGGCTATATGTGCACCTTTGTCATCTGAGAGGACAACAAACTGGGGGAGTGCAGTGAGAAATCGTTGTCAGATAATTTGGCTTCAGTCTGATATTTAGCTGCCTACGCTATCAACAGCGAGAGCACAGTTCACAGTTTGTCCTCTGTCAATGAAATAACCACGTTGCATCTCAGTGCTAAGGTAGACGTCATTTGTTTCGATTCCCTGTCCAACCTGTTGTTTGAATAATACAGCCTGCAGCGGGAACTTCCTGCCTGTTAATTATTGATTTCCTCCTGTGGGAATGGGAAATAGGTTATTTTATTTTTTTGCTCCCCTGTTGTGCATATGCGCAAAAAAAAAACATGTGCCCCTAGGGGTCACAGTTACATCACAGTCCATTAATTAGTATGTGATTAAGTTTATAGCAAACTCATATTCTGATAATTGCGTTAATGATTCCAGTGTTAACTGCCAATTAAATGAATCAATTGGAAACAATTTAGTTATTTATTTACACCACGGAAACCACAAACAAAGTATAAAAATAAATATATTGCAATAGATGGGCACAAGTCAATACGTGAGGAAACACATTGGTCGTTTTTCTGTCGCTACCTGCTGCTCATGAATAAATAAAATGGAATGAATAATGAAATACTTGGAAAATACTTTGTGAAAAAATCAAGTCCCATGTTGCTCAGTTTTTGGCAATTGTGCTCTCAAATAAAGGATGTCTCAGAATAAGTTTATTGATCCTCAGGGTGTTTTGCAAATGACTATAGTTTTAATAAAACGTTTATGACTTTGACAATGAAAGCCTCACAGAAACAGTCACATCATGACAATAGTTCTTCTAATAATGTCGATAAGATGAAGTAAACCTTCTTAGTGGAGGCTTTCCAGTTCAAATGCTATAGCCATGTACCAATTACAGGACAAATTACAGAAAGCAATTTGTGAAGCTGATTTGGATGCTGAACAGTTAAAACTGTTGGAGGTTAGGATTGGAACTATACTTTTGGCTCAGTATTAGTATTTACAATAAAAATGTTGTAATGTTGGTTTGAATGGAAAAAGTGAAGGGAGCCAAACCAGATGTTGCTAATGAATTGATTAATTAATTAACATCACTAGTTAATTCAACTTAATTAAACATTATTACCTATAACAGAGTTGCACAGTGAAAGCCAGAAACAATAGGAAAAGTGTAGTAGGGGATTTAAAAAGTTTTGGTGCCAGGATGAGAATATGTTTTGGCTGAGTGTTAGTGGTAGGATTAGAGCCGGGAGGGTTGGGTTTGTAACCTCAGGCATTGCTGCCAACGTTGGTACATGGCAGGGTAGTCACTGGCACAGAAACGAATTTGAGTGTGTGTAAAGAAAGAAAAATTGAAAAGAAAGAAAGAATAAGAATTTTTTTTAAAAACTGTAGTATGTTGAGAAGTGTCCCCTCGCCTGCATGCTGAATTAGACCAGTGGCTGCTCTGCTGCCTTTCTTATTTAGTTTGATTGATGGTACGGCCTTACTGCTCACATCCCCACAGGAAGCTTTCACTTGTTCCGTACGCACTGGACCACGACCACCTAGCTCAGAAAGCTAAAGTTGATGTCCAGACATCCTGGCCCTCATGGACAGAGTACGGTGTTGGTTATAAGAGGACTCAGCCTGACTGCTTGCCTGCAGAGTATCCAGTGTAAAACACAATTTTGAAACAGACAGGGGATTGCTAGCAGATGTGACAGACAAGGGTGACAATGACATACTGTGCCCAGTTATGAGTAGCAAGCCACCAATAACAAAACCTCTTAAAACAATCCATGCTACCAAATAGAAAAAAGCTAGAAACCACAGTAGTTCAAGATGAGGTGAAAATTGCCTGTGACATATCGGCACAGGGTTTACAAGAACAGCAGAACAACACTGGGTGTGGTTTTAATGTTTTATATGTTGTGCTAAAATCTGTGGTGCTAATGTGGTAACTGCTAATGCAACACCTTAGTTCAAAAGTGGGGTCCGTCATTCTGGAGAAAGATAGTGTTCAATCTCATCCCCAGGTCGTCAAATTTGACAACCTGAGAATGAAACTCAACAATCAACTATGTTTCTCCAGAATGACTGACCCCACCTTCAAGGAACAGAAACATGTTTTTCTACAAGGTTTTTTTTTACCATATAACAAAATGTGTCTCAATGCATTAGTATTTACTGTGATTTACAGTCATTACCAAAGTTATGATTAAGATAAGGAAATATTTGGCCAAGACTAACAATCCTGAGCATTCAGTTCCACTCAACTTCACACATTAAGGTTGGTACTTTAAGTGTATTGCGATTTAGCAGAAGAGGCAGTGCAAAGTTTTCTTTCTGCTCTTTATTATGTGTTCCACCTTCACATAAAGCCTCTTTAGTTTAGCCAAAAGTTCCTTTTAATCACATCTGCAGAGCTGCCAGCTCTTATTTCCAAGCAGTATTATATCCCAAATAGAATTGTTGCTCTAGCCCATACCACTGATTTCCACTCGGTTGGTTTTCTATATCTCTTTCCCAATTTGAAACACCAATGTGAAACCATGCGTTTTATTGTTGCTGGATTAGAGCACCTGGTAGAGCCACGTACCCGTCTCTTGGCTTAACGTACAGTCGAAGAGACAGCCTTCATAGCAACATGCCTTTACTGGAAGTCAATTCTGACCCCCCAAATAGCTGCTTAGTAAAGGGAAAGAGTGTTACACTGACTTATAAAAATCTCTATTTGGATTGTTGCCTCTAAAGACCTGCAGCTAAAACTAGAGACCCTATGGCTAGCAACTTTCTCCAACTTTTCATCCAGCTTCGCACAGATGAAATATCAGGTTTGTGACTGGAAATAAGATCTTTGATTACTGCAGTGTCAGCAGTTTGGACTGTATTTTTCCAATGTACCTGCTGTTTTGAGTTTGTGTTTCACATCTGCTGCACTGCGCTACACTATTTACTCTGTGGTCCTTGCCCTCCATGACTATTCAAGCTGGTGCAGACTGGTGGTGGTGCAGACAGCATTAAATGAGCCTGACCTGGAGTGGAAGTGGTTGTACTGAGATTTGTTGAAATGCTTTATCTTACTCTGAGGCAGTTTTTAAAAAAAAAAACAGACCAAAAAATGTTCAAGTATACTGCAACTTAAATTGTCTTTAGTTGGGAATTGCATGATACGTGTGTGTGTGAGTCTCTCTTACATAGACAGCTATTAAGGAAATGGATAGATGAGTGGAAGTATGGATCAATGGATATTAAAGGATTGGTTTAGATATTTTAAGTCTATATTAATACAATACTCACATGCCTATATGCACATTGCACACATCTCCTGTTCAACCTGGCTGTAAAGACATCCCTTCAGTGTACGGGATGGTGTAAGAGAAAACCTACAGTCCTTGTTTCATAAAAAATGTGTTTGAGTGTATGTTTTCAAGATACGGTAGATGTTAGAGTCTGAACCTATCCTTTAAAATGTTGAATTTATATCAGTTTAATTTTGAATGGAAAATGTTGATATGCCTTGTTGGTGAGGGTTAAAAAAAAGTTTTGGTATGGATATGTACCTGTGTGTGTTTGTACATGTAGACGTGTCAGAGCTGGTGGAAGAAGCAGCGTGTCTGTCAGATTCCACCTCTGAGGAGCACTCCCTCAGTTCCTACACTTCTGAGTCCTTCGATGACAACGGTAAGACTACTTAAATGTCCCAACACACTTTGCGCTCCTTAAACATGGCATTTTTCTTCTGCAATATGTCAGAGGGAAAACCACTCTTCAAGTAGACAGTGCTTCATGTTGAGGCTACACAAGAAAAAAAAGCAGAGAGCCACTGCTGTAGATAAAGTTCCCCGACTGAGGAACAGTCCACTTTGCACATCCACTATAGTGCATTGACTGTATTAACATATTAAAAAGCAAGCAAGAAAAAAGACCAATTGAAATGTTGGAAACCATGTGCATGAAAAAGTACCTCAGTGCAACTAAATCCATCCATGAAAATGCATCAAAGGTCTTCAGTCAAAGAAATGACATATTTTCTAGCCTTGTTTAGAAATTCTTTAGTCTTTTTCACAGATAACTCAATACCATTGATCTTTCGGTAGCTGAGTATAGGTTGGAAGCCAAACACCTTAATGATCGTGTGTGGGGGTGTGTTTTTCAGACCCATGCAAAGACTTTGTTTCCTATCTAATTACTGTAGCTGCAAAGACAAGATGCCTCGTGTCTCTCACACTCCCTTATAGGACACACACACACAAGCATACAAACGTGTTGGCAAGAGTAACATGTCTCCTCCTCTTCTCAACAGGTGTGCACACACATGCTCACACAAATTCTCCATTTCATCTCAGTCACACCCAGCACTTGAAACCTTACCCTATTCATAAATGCACTGACATTGTTACTGTACTTCTGCTCTTTCTTTCTGTACTCTGCCTATAGCCTCCATAGTGACAGTCATACGTCTCGTCAATGATGCTGTTGATAATATTGAAAGTGAAGGTATGAAAGAATACCCTCAGTTAACTCCTCTATCTCTTTGTGTCTGTCTTCTGATCTTAAAGCTTTTGTTCAGTGGTGTAACACTTAGATATAATGTTCTGAATGCAGCCAAGTCGCTGCTGTTTCTTTTCAGTATAAAACATCCTGCTTAGATTTCCAATATTTTGTCAGCTTCTAAAACTGGATCTGTCTGTGTTTCAATTTTCCCCCTTTGGTTTCTGTGTTGTTTGTCTCTGACTTTCTCTTTCTCTCTCCCTTTGTAGTGTCGAACATGGACAAAGAACAGCGCCGGAACAGCCCTGGTGAGTGAGTTGCAAAGCAACTGAAAAACATCTTATTAACTTGCCATTCCTTTTGGCTTTATTTCTCAAGCAGTGATCCCAAAACCCAACCTTTTGTATTCTTTACATTTTTTTCTCTGAATAGTTTTATCATATCCCATACAGCACAGATTACCATTTCTTTTTACAACTTTTTTTTTCTTTTTGCTACCCAGTCTTTGAATGTAAATAGGCTCCCAGTTTCTAGTTATGCTTCCAGACTTCCAACTAGGGATTGGTGGTTCCTTTTTGAAACTAGGATAAAAGCAAAGAACACAATATTCAGGTAGAAGGCTTTTCATCGTTGTCGCTTTTGTCTGTTCAAGTAGCAGATTATATAAGCTGTAGCTAACGTTAATATTGGAGCATGACCAATAAATTTGGCAGGCTAATATAATGATATATACCGATGCGTGACAAGAGACGTTTTTTTAGCAAATATTAATGGAACCTTTTCAAGAATTTCTGTTCTAGTTATGGTTTTATGTTCATAAATATCAGGACTGACTTCAAAAATCCTGTATCAGTCAGGCTCTTCTGTAAGTAATTTGATGAAAGGCCTCAATAAAACTGTCTGCCGATGTCTGGTTAATGTGCTCTGTACAAGCTTATGTCTGCACTCAGCTTTGTGATAAAAAGACATCCTACTTTGAAACACCTACTTATGGGTGAGTGAGTGGTCTGTGTGTTTTTTCACAGAGACCAACAGAGTAGAAAATCTTTCATCAAAGTTAGTATTCAGAATATAACATTCATAAATATCATATCCATATTTTGACCTCCGAATCAAGACCTCCAGTATTTGGAAAAAGAAGCTTGTGGAAAACACTGTGCTAATGTGTTGGATATACATATCAAACATTTCCTTTTTTGCTGCTTATTTCCACTCCAAAGTGTAGCTGCAGGTTGTGATTGATTGTCAGTACTGTTAATCACTAATTAGGCTTCCACTCAAAACTGTAGTGTTTCTGCTTTCTTAGCCAACTAAAGCTGAGAAAGATCTTTGAGTTTTAGTTATGTATGTCTTTAATTAGTCCCAACTGTTGAAAAATAAAACAAAATTAGTTTTTAGATAGGGTTTGCATTAGATAAGTGGAGTTAATGCTGGAATTAGATTCTATAAAATGCTGCCTCAGACCGACTTGAAACACATTTTAATATAAAATGTAAAAAAAAAACATGAAATTGATGATCAAATACAGATTCAGTCAAGAAATAATGTATAACATATGAAAAGATGTAGTATGTATAAAAACAATTCTCTCACCACATAATTATTTCAGGCAAGCATATAACATACACAAGAGCCTTCTGTATATAAATAGTTGATTAAGATAATTTGAATTATGCTGACATTTAATAGCTCGGTCATGTTGGGCGTAGCACTCCAAGCAAAGCAAAGCTTTCACCCCCTGGCCTAGTAGAGGGTCTCAGAGGATTTTAGGGGCACTTTGAGCCAAGCCTCACATCCGCATAGAATGGCAGAGGAGAAGGCAACTTCAAACACTTTCTTTTCACACTAAATGGGGCATCATCTACAGGCTGAACACTGACTTTCCACTCTCACCACATGCATGGTTTTGCTTAGACAAAGATCAGTGCAGTCATGAGTTGCACCTATCCTATAATATCCCTATGTTCTTGTCAGTTGCTTGTGCTACAGTCTTAAAACCAATATTAATGGGTTCATAGTTACCAAGTCTGTTTGTTCTCAGTTGCATGTAATTTACGAGGTCTGCAAAGTATTTCATTGCTTAACCAGAGCAAGACTGCTTTCATACAGTACCTCTGTCTCTGCCAGCTTACTGAAGCATAAGAAGCTTTATTTCAGACAGAGGGAATTAAATGATGGATGAATTGTTGTCCAGTAGGTTGCTCCAAATATCCCATTGGATTCAGGGTTTTTGTGTTAATAAAACACATGAACAAACCTATATTTCTTATTTTATACAATTAGTATATATTCTGTTATGTTTGTGGCCAAGAAAGTAGCACAGAAACAACTGCATAAAAAAACTAAATATATATATAAATATCAGATTTACAACGAGGTGAAGAGTATTCATGTCTGTTTTTCTGGAAATGAGATCTGAATTTTCATCTGACATTAATGCACCTTGCATGAGATAACGTGTTTTTGTATTATGTATCATGTGTTATGAGTTTTGTTTATTTGTGTATTTGTCTATATTGGTGCTAAATGGCTCTCTGCCAGGCTCCCTCTCCCGTTATCAAGTGTGTTGTTCTTCCATGACATAATTCACCATGTCTTTCTGCATTCAGTTGTTTCTATGAGAAGAGCATTTCATCATCAAAGGCTTCCTGTCCCATGAGATATTTGCTTTGTTTTCCACTTCACTGACAGCAAGGCGCCACCTGCAGAGCAAAGATGAGATTTGTGTAGAGTTCATCAAAGAGTACATTGTGGATTGTAAGAACATTAATTTATTTTTTACCCCTTAACCTTTCATTTGAAAGTATTCCAACCAGAAGTATTCCAGCAGCATGGCATTAAGTAAGAACTCCCACATTTTTTTTGTGGTTTTGCTGGCACGGCAGTCTATAAGATATCTCCGTACACGTGTCATGCATTATATACCAGGAGTAGGCATTGCTAATGAAGGGTACTTTCCATCCCACACAGAGGATGACCCCTCTGGCTTCTCTCACTTCATCAATATGATATTTTTTACTCACAGCTCATTAACCTAACCATGAATTATGCAACCTGCATGCTGTAGTTTGTAGGAAGTAGTGGTTTAGCAGGGAATTCTGCATCAGTCCATTTAACAGCATGAACTCAGTGGTAGAAAGGAATTTTGTGGACAGATTTTTATTTATTTATTTTGCACATTAATAAACTCTAAATGAGAATCAGAGCAATTACACAACGTAAACATGCAGTCCCAGAAAACACATCGTAAACCCCACAGTCCCACAGTGAGAAACAGTTATTCAGAAGCCTCCCGCTGCATCGTAGACACAAACAAACACGCAAATACAGACTCAAACATGCAGCACACTCACACATGTACGGACACATTCTCACGCACATAACTAACAAGCAGCACATTTCTATGAAAATATAAAGCGATCAAGGGAGTAGATAATAAGCAGAAAAACTGAAGAGGGGGGAAAAATAGAAACAAACACAACAAGCTTGGGTATACACAGCCTATTCATTAATATAACGGAAATTGGCTGACATTTTTTTCAGAGTTTATTAGCAGGGAGTAAATCACAAGTTCTGGAACCTTGTGTTAGTCACTTTACACCTAGAGGTAGCTGCTGTGGCTTTAGGAGGGCAGAAATGGAATCTGTAGTGATCTGAGTAATTGTGAACATCTTCAGATCAGTCCCTCCAGTAACAGATCCACAAAAGCACATATGCTGGTGTCACCTCACTTACCTCCCGTAGATAAGATTGCGATGATACTGTTGTTTCAGAAGTGATGTATTGATGTGGCACCTTTCACAGGCTGATTCTATTAGATAGATAATCTCATTCCTTGCTCACACTGTGCAATGCAGAAAGGCTGTTTGTAACATAACACACTCTTTCAAGTGAGGACTTCGTACTTCCAGTGATTTGGCAGCAGTAGTTTGACCATGGAATAAAGCCTCAGGCTCCTAACACAGTATGTTAACTGAAATCCCTTTCTTAACTCTCTTAAGTAGGCCATCTCTCTTCTTGTTGTTCTGTTAAAACATACTATTGGTCTCTGAAAATATTCCAAACTGCTTAACATGATGTTTTTCTTTCTTTTCTTTTATTTGGCTTTTCAGCATACCGCTGGGAGTCTTCCAGTCAGACTTCGAGCTGGTTGTCACCGTCACGTCTGCGTCCACCAGAGGTGGGATCCCATTACGACCTCAGTGACACCCAGCAGAACATCAGACGAGGAGGCAGTACACGGTCTCTCCAGCTGGACTACAGAGTGATGGGCTATGGCGGTGACAAGGGCCAAGAGAGGGGACGGGAGACCGAGAAGAGGACCTTCCAGTGGGAGAGGAATCAGTCGGGTGAGTGGGAGCGTAAATGCATCCTGGACAGAGAAGAAAAGAGACGGCACGACAGGGAAGGAAAGAACACAGGCAACAGGAGCAGAGACATGGGGATGCGCCAGGACCACAGAGACCGTCAGCAGTTGCAGGGCCATGACAGCTGCGAAGACAGCTCCTCGCCTGTTTACGAGGAATACCGAGAATCCAGCCATGACCCAGAGCAAACAGAAGACACAGAGAGCCTTTATGATACTTTACCCCCAACCCGACCAGCCTATGAAGGATACCCGTCGAGCCCCCAAGGCATCAACTTGCATCCAGCTCAACTCCTGCCCCCTCTCAGAGCGTGGGACTCACAAACAGGGGAGTGGAGGGGAACGCAAGAGGATCGTGGAGGGCTCGGTTCCAGCAGTCTGGCAGGTTCTGGGGACGAGCTAGAGAGACTACTGAACCTGGTGTCGCTCAGAGCCAGGAGAGCCACGCGAATAAACAGAGCCTCTACCAAATCTGAACCCACAACAGACTGGGATGGATTTAAATGAGCACACAAGACTGTTTAAAACTAATAGATGTAATATTCATTTATAAATTAAAGAGAGGCAATGACCCTCTCTGATTATACTTGACATTTATAATACTACACCGTTGGTCCACCACCTAAAAATAATTAAAGGAGAATATTACCATATATCCTTTTATCATCAAGCATTATTATCCCGCTGTAAGAAACAAACACTAATCCACCACCAATCCCCTGGCTCATTTATAAGCTGGTGGAATAAGAGGAAATATATGTGTTCTGTAGACGCCTTCACCTGAGCTGCATGAGAGTTAGCTGAGATTGGCTGTGAATCAATGCTATTACATTTATTATTTATAGAATCTCTGGAGCACAACATTTATTAACATCAAAATATGAACAGAGCCAGGCTGTCTGTGTTTTAGACGATGCCAATGTACATATGTTATCACGCATTTCATATATCGTTCTGTTGAATCACACGCGTACAGACACACACATACACACAATCAATTTGTCAGCTCAACCGTGTAATGCATTTCTTATTTTTTACTGATGTGAGCTTGGGGTTGTTTTGAGAGAACACACATCCCAGACGTAGCCTCAGAGATGCTATTAGGATTACCATTAGTTGATACCAGGAGATCTTTATTTAATCAAAAAAAAAAATTAATTATTCTATGATCATTTATTATTTATGAGCCTTTATAAACAGAAGTGTTAAGGGTATATGGCTCATATTACATGTATATTGAAAATCTTTTTTGTTTTACTCATGCAACTCTAATAATGGTATAAACACATCCTGATATTACTCTCAATGGACATTATGTACCTTGTATATATTACCAAAGCAGTGCTTCAGACAGAATTAAGCCCAGTTTATACCTGGTATTAATATGTGATATGAATTTTCATACTTCATGTGGTGAACGCCAGCTTGGAGAAATATGTGGAAAAACAGCTGTGCAGAACAGAATCAATCAGCCGAGACATGTACACACGGTTGCCTCATTGATAGCACATATAAAGTGCTGCTGTGTTCCCGGTTCACACACAAAAAGAAATTAAACTTAGATGTTGAACAAGTTTGAAACACAGGCAGAACCAACAGGTGGTACATAACTTGGAGTATTTCAGAACGATAAGTAGATTCCTCTGGTCAACGTAACTCCTTTTGTTTCATTTGAGAAGGACATAAATACTATATATAAATGGAATCCTCAAGAAAGGAGTAGATATTACCTCCACATCAGACTGTACATACTGTACATGTATCTAAATGAAGATGTAACACTGGAGGCCTATTAAGAATTATGGCACTTAAGACACTCAAGGTCTATTTGAAGATTCAAATAAATTACTAAGAGTTTTTTTTTTTTAAATGCCTTCAAAAGCTATTTTATGTTTTGAATAGCCTTTGTCGTGAAGTGAAAAAAATTTGTTCCAACAGGAGCAAAAGTTGTTGTTGTTGCAAGAATGTAGTTTTTCCAGAATAACTGTGGAGTACTAGTAGTACTGTTAAAAAACAACACTGATAGCCACATACCAACTGACTTAAAGGTTTAGTGTGTAACATGTAGGAGGATCTATTGGCAGAAATGGAATATACTATTCATAACTGTTTTGTATCACTTAAAAAACGTTACGATTTTATTACCTTAGAATGAGCCTTTTATATCTACAGATGCCGCACGTCACCTTCCATTAAAAGCCACTATGTTTCTACAGTAGCCCAGAACGGACAAACCGTTGCAAAAATGCCACTAAATCTTACACACTGGTCCTTTAACATGGACATGATCAGGCTAAGTGTCACTAATGTATCCATGTCTCACAGTATATGTCCATTCATCCTCTTTAGTCATTCCTTTTCAGCTCTACTCTGTAGGTGGGTTGCTGAAGCGTGTCCCATTGCATTGGGCAACAGGCAGAGAAACATCCCAGACAGGTCAGACTAACACACGGAAGAAAAAACATTCACACCTGTAGGCACTTTACAGTTTACAGTTCAGCTGGCCTGCATGACTGTGGACTGCAGAAGGAAACCCACCGGGAATACTGTGAGAATGTGCCAACAGAACAACAGGCTGAAATTTAAAACCTAGAACCTCAATGCTGTGAATCAACACTGCGAACACGTGAGACACCTTTGCTGTCATGCTTTGCTACTTTATTACCATCAATTGCAGTTGAATCATCTTGTAAAGTACCTTCTAAATCTATCGGAAGCTATTTCAGGTCACAAAGCCTAATGTTTATATACCAGTGTGGACTTGAAGAATATGCTCCAGCAGATTCATACTTTATTTGAAAGAAAATGGCGTTCGTTTTACGGGTGAATTATGTACCTGATGTGCTGTAGCAGGTGAGCTATGTCTCAACGGAGACTACATGAGATAAATAATACCCATAAAATATTTAATCCTATCAAGTCAGTCTTGTCACGCCTCTTATATGTTTTTCTTTCCCTCCTGACTGAAATCTGGCAGATTCATTTAGCAGAGCTTAAAGTCATCGATGTCCTGGGGAGACATGAAGGCTTGGGAATGTCTTCTTGTATCTTAAGTGCATAAAATGTATGATAAATAAATTTTATTTTGAAATCATTTGAGGTTATTTTAAAAAGAGTGTTATGATCATGGTTTAAGATTGTTTTGGCTGTAATACACTGTCAACAGTTACTTATTATGCCCTTTTTTTGCCTCAGGATATGATTTCTTGAATAGATGTTTGCTGCTTATTGTGTGGTACTCTTTGTTCCTGTGGGTTTATTTCCACACTGACCCAGTGCTATGATCAAATTATGCAGACTGTGCATCTCTAGAAGCACGTGTCTGTGAGCTGTGCAGAAATGTGTTGTGAGGGCTGAGGGCTGGTGGTCTTGTCCACCAGCCTTCAGTAATTCATGAAAAGTGAAATCCAAATTCCACAGCCTCAGTATGTGTTTGATTAATATAACATGCCCCTCTGCTCATAATCCAAAGTAAAGCAGCTTTAATTACCGAATGCGGCAAGGTCTGCTACTGGCGTGTAAGGTGGCATTTCTTAATCGCTCTATCTACATCCTCAAAAGGTGACCAGTCATTAATTTCTTGATTGGTGACAAAAGGTCGAAGGCAGGCAATGGTCAGTGTGTTCCACGTCTACGCTCTGCACGCACTGTCTGTAACTAACAGGGAGATGCATCGTGGAACCTTTGTGGTTTCTGATTATTTCCTCACCCCCTGTGGAGTACACACAAACTTTGTCCTTATTATCATCCTACCTACCTTGTAAAAACACCGACTGTCTGCCAGAAAGCGTTCCCATGGCAACCAGACATTCCCCTAATCCTGTTTGTGTTCCGTTTCCCCTGTCACATGCAACATGTTTTGGCCAATTTAAGGACGAGGTGTATATGTGTGTGTGTGTGTGTGTGTGTGTCGTGTGTGTGTGCGTGTACCATACGAGTGTGTATATATGTGTTTGCTGTATGATCTCACATTAATACGCCTGCTCCCAAAGTAGTGTATGTGTGTTTCTCTGATGCAGCGCAACATGGGGGAAGAGCAGAGTTGTTTGACACAAGAATAACCACTCGCCCACTCCTAAACATATAATATGTAGGTATGAATGCACTGAGAAAAGTCAAGATTCAGTGGTGGCATGCATGCCATCAGGTCTGGGAGAGAAAAATGTGGCTTAAAATTATTTGTAAACATTTCAAGACTCTGTCATTACATCCTTTAAAATAACTATTTACAAAGTGTACATTTTACGATAGCCACTAGCTGCAGCAATAGCTGTACTTTCTCGACAGCAATCATTTTGTCAGAGTAAGTGTTACATTTTTTTGAACAGTGGATATCATTTTTGAGGGAAACACTTCATATATCTTTTAGTGCATGCCAGTTTGTGTCAGTGCAATAGATGGAAATAGCTCATAGTCAAATGTTGGCTGGCTTGTTCCAGTTCTATTCTCTCTCCCTGCAGGAACCATGAACCACAAAAGACACAAACAGGTACAAGGCAGAACTCAAGGGAGATGAATTTTTATTTTCCTCAGCCCAGGAAAAAAAATCATGCATTACTGTGTAAAATGCACATAAAACTTGATGAAACTCGTCACTGCGGGAGACATTCTGAAACTCCTGTTACCGACTTTGCAGCCTAAAAATAATCAGCTTGCTTTGCTCTCCAATGTGATCACAACACCTGAATTTATGTTTCATCTATTACCCCTGCCTGTCACAACAAGGCAACAGAGAAAATTAGATTTGATCAATTAGCATAATATGCTAAACAAGTCTCAAGTGAGAGGTCTCTAAAAGGTGAAGGTGACATGTCACCTTCCTTTTAATCCACCCATTCATTTATGTTTTTTTTGTTTTGTTTTTTTGTCGCGATGCTGTCTTCATTCTGGGCTTTTAGAGGGAGAAAAAGAGGAGTCATTACTTACAAGACATGCATCCTTACGGGCAAAACCTTGCGTAACATTATCTCTGCCTCCAGCCATACGTGTGGTACACACAGAATCAACACCAAAAAACGTAAACCACACAACACAGGTAGAAATAGTCCAGCTGTCTGGTCAGAGGGAGAGTAAAAACTACGAGCAATTTATTCACCCAGATTCACAGCTTATTAAATTATTCTGACAAGGATTATGCAACATGTCCCAATAACTTACATACTCTCTCTGGCACACTCTTTTGATGACCATCCTGCTTGTTTAACGTATTCCAAGCATGCTGGCTGTCCTAGTGACAGGCACAGGGTCAAACCAAAGGCAAATACGAGGGTGTGTGAGGGAAGAGAAACTGGGAGAGAGAGAGAGAGAGAGAGAGAGAGAGAGAGAGAGAGAGAGAGAGAGAGCAATAAACAAAGTGACTGTTGTGTTTATTCATCATGCATCAGAGGAAACCGATGAGGACCTGCCAGTCCCTTTAGCTCTGCTGGCTTTTTATTGGACCATCTGGCATTTACACCATAGAGTCAGCTAAGCCACTTAAAACCTCTTTCTACCCCCACAACCCCCATTTTTTCTCTCTCCTTCTTCTTCACTGTTTTTTTTTTTTTCCCACAATGTTGTTCCTCCAGATCTGGCTGGGCACATCAGGAGAGGGAAAGGATGGACAAAGGAATGAAAGGATGTCAAATAAAGGAGGAGGAGAATAAGGGATAGATCATGTAAGAAAGTCAAGAGATGAGTAGAGAAGTGGGAAAAGTAAGAGAGATTACCATTCCCTAGTTTCTGCTTATTGAGGGGTAACTGTGTGGGTGATTATAAATCCACGCTGTTCTCGGTAACACCAGGATTACACACCCAGCCAGACCTAATCTATGTGCCTAACATCTGCCTCTGATGACACAAACACATGCATACACACAAACATGCACACAGTCATACATGCACGTACAACACTCACATGACCATAATGGTTACAAATGCAGACACTGTCACAAGCAATTTCATCAAATCTATTATTCACGAATTCTTTAATCTTACGAGTGCAATTGGACACAATATGCCTACACTGCTGAACCAAGGGATGGGGGATGGGAAAATTGAATGGTAAGGGGTCATGTCTATGTATGACAATATGAATTCGCGTCAGAAAGCCGCCCTCAGCTGTGTGTGACTGAGTAGAGGAAGCTGTGCACCAGCCCTAGCCCATCACCCCCCCCTCCCGCAGATTATTACATGGCAATCCTCTGGCATATGCCTAGAAAACGGCAATGCGTGAGAAAGGGAAGATCTGCTGCCACATACTTTATTGGGTTTTCTGTGTGATGAGGGCGCATTAATGTGATTGGATTGTACTACAACTCATCTAGTATTAAATTATCATTATATGGTATTAAAAGACTAGTAAGTAATTGTCTCAAACTTTGGGACATTTCTTTGGAGGGAAAATGGTGACTTTCTGCAAACTACACAAAGACCAATATGCTGAATCCGCATTATCAGGGATATGTTTATTTTACCCTCCATAAGTCTTGGCTTGAGCTCTTTTATGCTGATTTAACAGGGGGGCTTTAGTGTTTCCGTGTTGGACTTTATTACAATGCTCCCCAGTTTGTTCTGATCTTGTAAAGAAATGCTGCCTAAAACAAAGGTGAGACAGAATGATGGATCAAAATGCTGCTGAGAAATTTGGCAGCATCATGGGCCTGAGAGCTCAGCTTGTTATCTGCTTTAGCTCTGAGGAATTGGTACGCTGTCACCCTCGAGATTGCTGAGATCTGATTTTGGTAAAAAGGAGGTCTGCTCGATATTGTGCTTTGATCATCAGGGGGTTTTTATGTTTTCACCAGCAGAATAAGCATCTAGATTTGCTGAAGTTGCTACAACTGTAAGATTTTTATAAGGTCCTTGTTGAACTGTGCAAGTGTGAAATGCCTGTGGTAGTAACCTTTATAGTCCATCAGATGACTCGAATGTAAGAACAATCCTAGCGCATCTAAAAGGCACAAACATCCACCAATACAAATTGTTGATGTTACACCTGAAGACACCCTTGCTAACAATTAAATTAAATTAAAACCGTTTGTTGATTCTGCAGACATACGGCTTTGATTAATAGCTTCTTCTCCCTCCCTCTATATCTCTAAAATAAAATCTATGGCAGCAATTCCAAATCCAGGTTAAAACAAAATCTCTTTTCGTTTGGTTTCTTGGTTTAGGGGTTATTTTCCACCACATTTCACATGGTATTTCTGTGCTTTTGTGCTTCTTTCATGAGCTGAGAGACAAACCAATTATGCAATCCCAATAATTATTCAAAAGAACCACTTAATATAACAAAATCAACTATCTGTGTCCCAAATAATGATACCACTTTCTAATCATGTGCCCTTTATAAAGGGCTACGTGTCTGACATTCTAACAAATCATCTCTAATCCAGCTTCAAATGTTGAGTGATTATCACTGATGAAGATTCCCAGGCTTCTCATTCCCAAATAAAACAGTTGCTGAAGGTAGTAAGTCATCTGCAAATAACAATATTATTAAAAAGAAATATTACAACAATTGATCAAATCTGCAGTTATAAATGGCAACAAGTTGTTGTTAAACAGAGTTTGGTGCAGCTATACTGCATCTCCTTTTGTAACTAAAAAGACTAAAAAAGATACAGTGCCATACATGCTGAAAAAGAAGCCGGCCTCTACGTGCTTAATATTCCCCTGTGTGCTTTTATGGCAGAGGTTTTGTAGTTATGTAGCTATAAGTCAAATAATACAGTTTTAATCTAAGCAGGGTTTGGACCTGCATCACCACTTTCTGACCGCATGCAGCTGGTGCCCTTTTTATTTTTTCAGACTGACCAACATTGCCACTAGTACGGCTAAATAGTATATCTTGCAGACTTGCAGAAAACAGACAGTCTACGCATAATAGATAGCACCATTTTCTTAATTTCCCCATATACAGACAATAAATTATTCATAACAAAGATTGACCCACGTGGTTAATAAAATAATCACTGCCATTCAGTTTTATTATAATGAATTACAGTTTTTATTACATGCTGTATCCCTACTGAATGCTGCTCAAGACATCCTTCTCCTCCAAACCCATTTGTCATCCCAATAAGTGGTGTTACAAAAAGATTAGATGTCTTTGAAAAATGGCTACGCTTGTTCCATTATTAAAACACTCACAAGGAAATATAAACAGTGGTACTGCCAGGCAAGTTTCCCCTTGTGTCTTTACACCCTACTTCCAGACATTTGTTTTGGTGGCACCATCTGGTGATTTTAACCAAACTCTCTGCGGAACAACGGCTCTGAGGGAGCCAACAAAGATTCATCAATATTAATAAAACCATGTTTTCCTGTGGAGTACAGCAAAATGAACATTGCCATATGGAGCAGCTATGTTACTTGTTCTCATAGAGGACGGCGCTGATACCTAGTTCTTGTGGCTGGTCTGCTAGAGCATCATCCATCCACTTCCCCATTCCTGCTAATATTCCCACCGTACAATATGCTCCACTGCCATAAATGAGTGCTTAAGGTTATTGAAGGGTCTTTCAGAGCAGGCAAACACAGTAATCACATTGGCTGTAGATTCAGAAAATCTTTAAAGCATGTCCACCATAGTCAGCGCAGCTTTATCAGAGCTTTGCAGTTTTCAATTAGTAGATTTATGTTTTGCATCGTCAATGCTATTCTACATGTGTGAAGTTGTGTCAGTCCCTGCTCCTGCTGGTGTGTGTGTGTGTGTGTGTGTGTCTTTGTGCCAATCTGGCTGACCTCAGAGCCAGAGCTGTCTGTCTCCTGGTCATCACATCATGCCCGTGGAACACATCACCCTGCTTTGAGGCTGACACTGGGCTGCTCTAATCTGCTCCTGCTGCTGTGCTTGAGGGCATCCGCTGCAGCCATACGCCCAGTGGTGAAGAGTTAAACAAGTGAATGGCGCTGGCCTCAATGTGTCACCACTGGCACTGACAATATCGATGACATATAAATCCACTGGATCTGATAGGAGAGTTCGACTGCATTGCTGCCACCAGTTACCCATGCACGTCAAGGGATGAATGGGATTAGACTGCCACCTCCACTTGCTCTGACTGCACCGTGCACCAAAGTGAATCATAGTCCAGAGTCCAAAAATGCTGCTTTTTACTGGTTATTTTCATATTTTTTTATTTTTTAAAGGTGCATGCATTAACACGGGATTTAATAAACCAAATAAATCAGGACATAAACATATGATTTCAGGCAACAGACCTACTGAACAGCATATTATTGTGATTTCAAAATGTTCTCTGGCTCATCTGTGACAAATGCTCCACATAAGTCACAGTGTGCTGATTGGACTTCCCGTGCCGACCCACCGCTGCGTGTACACTTAGAGCAACTCCGAGCATTGTGCTGAGATCAAAGACAGATTCTTGGCAAGTCACGCTGGGAATGGCCAGGGGAAGATGAGGGAAATCTTTGTTTGCACGCGTACCTCGGCGTGGTATTTGGGGGGGGGGGCGGAGAGAGAGGCTCAAAGGGGGAGGCGAGAGAAAGGGACAGACACATGAAGCCAGGTAAAATTGTTGTCTGTCAAGCCGTGTGTCTCTCCGTGCTCACACCGTGAGGATTCTCTCTCCCCCTCTCCCTCTCTCTCTCTCTGATATTTACCACAGTGCCGCCTCGCAACGCGCAACGCCGTTTGCGTCGTAGTTCAGCGCATGGCAAGGGCATCACAAACGGCTAGGGAGGACGATTTGTTCCTCCGTTTGCAGAGAATAGCAAATTAAATCAGGAGGGACTCCCGAGGCGGTGCGATGGTTTGACATTTTAGAAAAGGAATAGCCTTCTCTTTTTTTTTTTTTTTTTTTTTGACCAACGTGGGCGCATACAGACGGATGGGAGTTCGAGATGCCAACCAGCAAGCTAGGGGCATTCGAGGGGATGGAGACTTTAAATATGAGTGGTCTGGACCTACTTTGATGAAATATTTTTGAAACGACAAATAATTTACCTTTCCTTACCAGGGTGGAGGTGTGGCAACGCCGCATGTCCGATCGGCTTTCTGTGGCACATGGATGGATGAGTTTTGTGCGAAAGGACAAGAGTCTATGTAACTTTATATAGGTCACCCCGCATAATATCAACAAACTCATATCTCCTTTAAGTAGCAGACTTGACGTGCGCTCTCGTGGAACTCGGAGAGTCACCCAGGTGCGCTCCAAGTTTCATTTAGGACACACCGGCGGTACCTGCGGGACATAGAGCACGGTTAGGACTTGAAGGCAGCGTTGGGCTGTGGGCCAGTGATGCCGGACACATTCACACTCATAAAGAACCGGACAGAGCCACGGCTGGGGCAGCTAGAGCGCACACTGGCCACGGAGGGGAGTGCCCGCCCCGCCTGGGTCATAGGAATCCTGGCCAGCGTGTTGATCTTCACCACCGTGGTGGACGTGCTGGGGAATCTGCTGGTGATCATCTCGGTGTTCAGGAACCGCAAGCTGAGGAACTCGGGTAAGAGCTTCCGCCCCCTTTGCAATGGCTCCATTTCATAACAAAGGTTAAAACCTGGTGAACCCCGTCATATTCTGAGGGAAGGGTCGTTCTGCACTTCAGTTTAACGTGGGTCCATGTTAGAACTTCCATTACTATGAATTTATATAACAATGTAAATGTGTGTGATATTGATTCTGTAGGGGAATCCTGGGTAGACCAGATCTACTTTGTTTCACCCTGCACTCATGTCTTTATGTGCTGCGTGTCCGCATTTCATGGTTTGACCCTGAGAGCTTTGAGGGCCCCCCCCCAAAAAAAAATCCCACTGTCATCAATGAACCCCAGACTATTCCAAAGTAATTTTATGGCTTTAATAAAGAAAGTAGACATTTAAGTGAACTCACACCACATAATCTGTAGCTTCCGACCAAATGCCCCCTTTTAGATTAGGGTGCCAATCTATTTCTGTAAGCCTGCTTGCAACCTAAATGACTAAAAGGCTCTATATAGCTTCTGGTTGATAACATTAGCCAGAGCGCTTCATATCTTGCTGAAGGGCATCTGGCTGCTGGTGGACACAGTGATGGCTGTTAAAGGGATTTAACCTGTACATTTCCAGTCCAGGGACAGTGAATTTGAAGACTCAGCTGGCCAATTATGTCTTCACAGCTTTATATTACGCTATAGTAACAGCTTGATGGATACCTTACACTATTAGAACTACTGTAACAGCTTGCTGTCTGTCTCTTGTCTCAAAAAAGTAACCAGTAAAGCGCCCTAATGCACTCTCTGTGATAATGCCCTCACAGAGACCCTCCAGGTAGATGGGTTATTTGTGAGGAAAACTAGATTTGTAACATTGGGTTGTCTTGCTGTGAAACAAAAACAATTTTACGATTGGAAGATAAGAACCTTGAGCAGTTGGTTAGAAGAGATTATTGATTTAATAGGGATGTAAAGAGCTGCTGCAACATTAAAGCACCTTGATTGTGGCCCAGAGGGATTGTGGGATACAATAAGGTCGTATTTGAACTCCTTTGGATTGTGTGTTATGGTGTACATTAAAATATTTTATTCATAGTCTTTTGTTTGCTTTTGTGCACACGTCTACATTTTTTTCAATGTCATTTGTGTATGTGTGTAATGTATGCGTTCGATTTCCGGTCTGTAAAATGAAAGTAAAAATTTGAATATTTAAAAAAAAAAAAAGTAAAGTAAAGTTCAAAGGTAGGCTGGCTCACACCTGCCGTATAAGAGCTGGTTAATAAGCACAGGTGAGTCCTTTTGAAAACTTGACTATACTGATGTTGATGAACCAGTTCTGATGTGTGAAATTACCCAGGAGGCCTCATGCAGCTACAGTGAAGCATAATGCCAAATCATAAAGCGTGGAAGTACTCTTTCACTTCAGGTAAAAAATGCACTTGTGTGGGGGGGTTGTAATTCAACTCTTTTCTGAGGAAAATGAACCCCTTTCATGCATTTTACTGAATCATGCACAGTTATAGGTTTAATGCCTCATTTGCCCATCTTCATTAAAGTCTACTGACACTGTTTGTTTACTGAAATTTATTCCTGAAACATGTATCTCACCCTAGTGGCTGACTTTTAAAGACTGCTTAAGAACAAATGTGAGACTAAAAGATGGATATCTTATGCAGTATAGTCTGCCACACTGTGCTGATCGGCTATTTTGTGCTTTATAAGGCAACAATTAGGGCAGGAAATATGCATTTATTTGCATATTCAGCAGAAATTTTCAGCCAGTAGGATGCTCTTTCTTCCTTATTAGTCGATGAGCAAAATACGCTGAGGATTAACCAAAACAACTACTTTCCTCTCATTTAAAAACATTATGAACCTCTCCTTGTATTTGTTCACCTGGGAAAATATTTTTTATTTTATTTATTTTTCCGTTAGATGGACACAATAGTCACTGGAGCATTTGAATGCAAGCCCATCTTCAGGGAAAGACTCCCACATTCTGCACTCTCACATGGATTATTTTTAGGTAAGGTTTTAGGTAAGGTTCAGCTTATTCATAGCTCTGAGTCGCCTTGAACCAAGGTTATGTATCTAAGCTGTTAAGAAATGGAATTCAAAAAATTAAGATGCAAGAAACACACGTGTACATCAGGAGCAATATGTCAAGTGTGATTCTATTTGTTTGTAGCGTCACCTACAGCAATCGTTTTAATCATTATCTTATTAAAGTTAATGCACGGTGACTGACTTATGCTATGCAGATAGCTTCATTCAGGGGATTTAATCTAATCAAATACAAGTCTTCCCACTATTTGAGTGGATAAGAAGGAGATTAAGGTTTATTAAAAAGAGAGTTGCTTGTTGTAACCACACAACCAAGTTTAACATCTTTATCTTTGCTGCTTTTCATTTTTACTCCTGCCTACCTTTGAAGGAACCTTTTTCAATATAAGACTTGCAGTCTTGAGTAATAGTGAGTGCATACGGCCACGTGGCCCCAAAATACAACAGCAACTGTGGCAGTTTTTGTCCCACATAAATCTCACACAGCGGACACACTGGTATTGTATAAAAAATCATCACATTGGATAAGATTACGTTTACCCTTTGGCAAAACGCGTTTTTCTGTCCACAGAGCCTGATTCAAGTACCCCTTGTGCTTTTAAGGGGAAGCACTCATGGCTTGGACGTTAGAGGAAAGGGTGATTATGCTGATCTTTTGCTGAATTGGGACCATGACACCACCAGGCCCAGCAGTTCATTTTGCATTCCAGGACACATAGTACACCTGTCAATCTTGCCCACAATTTTAAAAATAATTGCCTGCACGGGGGCATCCGACATATCTTTGGTTCAATCACCTGTCTAGACCAGCTAATAACCAGATAAGACTATATAATGAAACATTTAATTTTAAAACTTAATTAAAAATAGCTTAATTTCTATTCAAGGTATTCTTGGATGTTGTGGGTTATCCTTTCTCTATCTATTTCTAGGTTCCTCATAGCCTACCTCTCCAGAAAGAGTTATATATTTGTTTTTTGCCACTCACATTTCTACCTTAAAGCTGATCTCTCTCAACTCAAACAGCCCACTCAGCAGTTCTACACTGAACCGACAGTTGTGAACTCAAAGGACGGCTACTGTAGATTGAAACAACCCACTCAACAGTTTACGCTGGAAAACACCTGACTTATATATAAACAGTCACAGCAAGAGTAGAGGGCTAAAGTTACCCGCTAGAGTTGTCATAGCTTTGCATTTAAGCTCCTGCTGTGAACAAAATAAACTGACTGCTGAGTGTTGGACCGCAGTATTTCATCAGTTGCTAGGTTGGTGATGAGTGATGACTAACTGCATCTACAAAGTCATACTGTAGTAAATATTATAGTACACACTCTTATTCTGACACTGAATTGGCATTGAGATATCTGTGATTCATGCTAATCAACACTCTGATGCATGTTGGTCATGTAACCAAGCAGCATTAGGACTACACAGGGATTTTACATTACCTTTTTGCCTTCTCGCTTTTTCTGTTTTGTCTTTTCAAAGACCTCAATGTTTCATTTAAAGGGCCTTCTTTCTCATCATGTCCTATTGTACGTTGGCAAGCTTGTGCCACAGACACCCAATCACGCACGCATGCATTCATAAGCCATTAGAGCCATTTGTCCCCTGAAATTAGTTTTTTTTTTAAAGAAAAGCTTTGAATCATACACAGGCACTCTGACGTACAGATGTGTGCCTGCATGAAAGACACACGATACATTTTTACACAAGAATATAGTCCGTCTACTCATCTTAATGGCATATTGTGCTGTATTTGTGTGAGTATGTGAAAAGTGCCCTGTACAGTTGTGGGGGGCAGAGTTTTTTGTCCCTTGAGATTTGTCTTTGAAGGAGCTTAGGTGGTGCGAACCTTCAAAGAGAGTTATACAGGATCACATATTACAGAGACTCTCTTCACAGAGACTTTATTTACATCATATCTCTTCTCCTCCCTCTCATTCCCCTTCTCCAGCTACTTTCCTCTAAAGCTCTCTGCCTCTACAAAAATAATGCTTAAAATATTCCCTAGTTAATACTGAGGCTTGAAAAAAAAAACACTCTTTACTCAGTGCAGTGTTTCACATCTAGCTGCCCCCAGTCTGTCTCTGTCCATGGTGCTGAAAACCAGTCTTTTCATGTGTCTCTCCATGGTGCTGAAACACAGACTTAAGGCCTCTTTAGGTCTGTGTTCTCGTCTGTACTTGTGAAACGCCATCAGTTACCACCCATTCAACTGTTCCATTCAAAGTCCACATCCAGCCAAGTACAGTCGGAATGTTCCTGCTCTGCCCGTTTTACAGAAGATCCATTTGAAGATGATTTGTGTTGATTTGAGGTAGACAAACAGCATGCATTTCGCCTCAATCAATGGTGATGGCTGACTCAGTACTGTTTCAAATTTTCTTCCCACAACTGTTATTGTGCCAACATATTAAAGCTAGGGTAAGTAATGTATTTCAGAAGCATTTTTTGTCATGTTTGTTGAAATTCTCTTTACATCCCGACTGAAATAAATCGATCAAATACCCTGGAAAAATAGAATAGAATAGAATACAACTTTATAGTTTAGCCTAGGCTGGAAAATCAACTTTGGTCTCACCAGATCAGATGAAAAAAAAAAAGAAATTCGGTATCTGTAGCAATCACAGGCCTGTAATAAGCCCTGAAATGTGTGGCTTTTCAACAATGGCAAGAACTGAGGGACAGGTATTTATCTGGTTTGTTTTGTTTTCAGGGAAAATCATTATTTTCCTGAACTGTGTAGAACTATATATATTTTCAGCTGGATACTTTAAAAATCCAGTCGTCTCTTAACAGTTTCTCCAGCATTACTTACTGTAGCTTTAAGCTGAGGTGAGAAAGTTAACGTTTAGATTTCAAATATGTGGTTGCTCAACCAAAATAATGCTAGTCGACCAGCTGCCGTGATGATTGACTGGCTAACGTCCATGGTGAGAACAGTCTTTGTAGTAGACTAATCT